GTTCAAAGGATTCGTTCACCAAATCACGGAATCATTTAGCGGGAGAAGCCTGCGACTCCGACCTCCTGAACTTATACACAGCTGAACATTTCAGGATTCAGTTCAATTCAGAGCTTCTGGGATTGGGAGATGAGAGTGTTTGGCTGTGTTGCTTTGGCAAACAGGTTTGTAAAAATGAACTTGTTTATAAGTCATGATATTTAAAGTGTCCTGTCCTATGGTATGCTATTTATCAGGTCTGCTCGGTAAATGGGCTCAGTGAGTGATTTGTTCACTGAACGTTTAGAAGAATTCTCACTAAACATGCACCGTTCCCTCTCAAACTGCTGTAATGATAGGATGCTGCGGGGTTTTTGCACTACTTGTTACATGCTGTGTCCTGTTGCATGCACGTTGTTGTGGTGGCAATTTAGTAGCGAAAAAAAAGGTAATTTTGTCTTACAAAAATGATTCCACAGAGTGTAGTTCAAAGCGTGATTCGTTCACCAAGTGATTCAGGAGTCAGTGCATGTGGTCCCTTGTTCGCCAGCTGCTCGCCTGGCAATGCTGTTTCTCACATCAGCTCAACTGGTGGGAAACGAACGAATCACTCAAGGAAGTGGTTCGGTTCAGTACGTTCACTTAAAAGATTTGGTTTATTTGAACGAATCATTCGCAAACGACACAACACTAGTATGTGAGAAGTTTGGTGTTCAAATGATGTCTAAATGGGAGCACCATTATCATGCAAAAGTAACATGGATGCCAAAAGCTCAATTGTGTCCTTGTTTTCAACATGGAAATGCTAAAAGTTAATTATTTCTCTGCACTGCAACAAAAAACTTAAAGCATGACCCTGGTTGAGCATAACGCTTCAAACTTTAGAAATCCACCTTAAAGCTTTAACAATGTTTCTTTTCTAAGCTGTACAAAACCTTTGATCTAAAGAGGATGAACTTTAAAAACTCATGTTATCAAGTTCAATTTTGTCTTTTTGGGAAGTATAACACATTAATTCTTAAACCGACAGACAAACAGAAAGACAGAAAGACAAATGACAGCAAGACAGTAGGAAAATTAGATATTTGATATACATGAGTATCACTACCTACTGTATGTTGATCTGTTTCTTTTAGAGAAAACAACAGCTTTGTGTCTCGTTCCAGTTTTGAGAGCTTGTCATATTTCGGGCACTTTTCCTTTTAAAATCCTCAAATGTGCCCAGAGTTGTGGGAGGAAGTTAATTGGCTTTCTATCATCCACCGCTGTGCTTTACAAAGAATCCAGATATATATAAGCCTATTCAACATTTGGGATCAGTAGCTTGACTGAACGGTAAGATGAAGCCTTGGTATGAATCATGAAAGGCCTCAGCCCACTTATTACGACTACAAGTTTGACTGCCTTTCATCTTCCCCGCAGTGCGCTCATCCAATTGTTGCTGCTGCCATATCTGGATCCCTGAGTTCAAAGAAATCCCTGGGTGATTCTGAGGTTATTCTCTGCAGTCGTTTTTCAGATTGCCTTAAACATTTTCAGATTTGCGCCTCCATGTAAATCTTAAATTAAAATATTATTCATAAAGACGGGACAACTTGTAAAAGGGATAACCTACATTTACCTGTTTGATGAAAAGCCAGGCTGAGTAAGCAGGCCAAGCGTGTTTTTTCTTGGCACCAAATGTGTCTGGCTGCAGTCATGGCAGAGAGGATATATGACTGATATGTTAATGCTGCTGTTTGGAGCTTGGTCTACAGGAAGATTTCAGAAGAGTGCAGGATCCCCTCTGGGACGAGAGCTCTGTGTTCCCAAGAGAAAAGCCATCCTCTGAACTCCTCCGTTTTAGCACTCCCTCGCTTCTCTCCCCTCTTACTTTGGTTATATCATCAAAGGGAGAGGATGCACATGAGTGAGGAAAATTGGGGGAGAAGGCTCTGTTTAGTGAATAATGCATTAATAATCATTTGTACTTGCACTTAAAGCAGAAAGGGAAAGAGAAATTTAGAGCATGTCCTCGCTGCGGTCACTTAAGAGGGTTTTGGCGCTCCGTTCTCGGGTCACCTTTATGCTCACTGATGATTATATTACTTCTCTTCTTTTTGTTCTGGCGGACTGTCAGGATTTTTCAGTCTTTTTCCTTCTTGTCCTCATTTCTCTGTGTGTTCCTACAGCTGCCAGCGTGATAGACTATTGACTGAGCTCATACTGAAGTGTGCCATGATATGACACAAATCCAGTTTACGCTCAAAGCTCAAAACCTCCTTCCTGCACCGCAGCACCGACTCCAGCGAGGGAGCTCGACTCGCTGTGTCACTTTATGTGACGACAGCAGTGGGACAGGTGTCAAAAAAAACACAGCAAGAAGGTCTCCGTATAACCTCATCTCCAGATGAAGGGACCTGTTCAACATTTGGCAAGATATTTATAAATGTTTGATCTCTGGAGTCATGTAAAGGTGAAACTATTAAAGGTACAGAGGGGCGTCTCAGTCTCAGTAAAGTTTCAGGCCTCCGTGAATTCGCACAGCTGACTCAGGATGTTTTGACTACAACTGTTCTTGTCTCTGAGAAGTCCTGTCCTCATTTGGTGTTTGTTCATGGTTCGGGTCCTGTTGCTCTAGTTCTCTATCAGGTGACTGTGAGGACCATCTTGAAGGTTGTCAGATTTAATCCCCTTTTTTACATGATGACCCACAATAAAAGCCACTTATGAAGAGCACATGATTCATTTTCAATCATCCAACACCCTTCTGCCTTATATGGAAGACTGTTTTTCTACATGCCTCCATTTTTCCATAAAAGGCTTCATCTGTTACCTCTGATCTTTGCTGAACTACATTTGTAATAAATAATGAAAATTAAAAAGTGACTAATGTTTTTATTGAATGGAGAATTATGACAGCTTCTTATGCTGAAACTTTTACATATTACTTTTCAGCACCATGCTCAAAAAAACAGCATGGTGTTTCACCAAAAATATTGATACCACACACTAATGTAACTTTTATAGTTTAGTCCCATAGACTGTATAAACTACGGACAACTTGGTCCCGCCTTCTGACAGTATATTGATCACATTGTGCGCATTCGGCGGGAGAGTCGGCTAGAGTTGCTGTGATGACGCTCGGCTCAAACAGCGTTTCCCCCGGGTGAGCTACACAATCCTTGTACGCCCATAGGCTGTATCAAGTGTCAATCATAGAAAACATGAACCCCCTAATAACTTTTGAAAATGGAGCTGCACAGAGAAAAAGAGGACTTAAGCACAAACCAGTCTTAAAGTAACTACATGTGAACATCACAAGCAGGGGGGAGAAAAATTTATATTCTGTGTAATAAATGTCTGAAGTTTGTCCACAGCCCCATAAGGATTGCTGGAGGAGGCGGGATTTATGAGCTATACTGCAGCCCATCACCAGAGGGTGCTGTTCTTGAAGTAGCTTCACCCAGTGAGGAGGCAGACGGCATCCATTCTATATACAGTCTGTGTTTGGTTCTCACATATGCAGGTATTTTTTTTAAATGCAGGTTTTCTCTTCTGTTTTGAAAAAATATCCTGTCCACAGGATAACGCATATGGTTGGAAAAGCTGACACAAGTATGCCTGACCAGTAGGTGGCGATAATGTGTGGTTGATCTGTCACGTCAAACACCAAAGATGAAAAGTCTGTGAGCGGAGCTTGACTATACTTTGTATGAAGAGGTGACAAGAAAAGAAAAAAAGAACTTGTTTTTTTCTAATTTTTGCCTTGAAATCTCCATTTTAAGTGACCTAAAACTCCCGACTACTCATGGACTTGGTCTGTTACTCAACCTCTCTGTCCTCACAGTAATCACAGATGGACTAAACTGCAGAAAACTTCCAGAATTTTTTTCTTTGTGGTTTACATGTGTGAACACAGACAGCTGAATTATCTGTCCTGACTTTGCTTTGGTCAGCTTCTTTGAATACTTCTGATATGCAGTCAGGATGAGCTCATCTGTGGATGCAAAAGGTGGAGGCCGGGAAGATAACCAACGAGCCAGTAGCCTTAGTGATAAAGGGTCAGGGATGACTGGAGCAGTTTTCATGCAGTGAGCCAACAAACCTGCATCATACTGCTGTGCGCTAACCATAATTTCTCATCCTCTTATCTCTTAAAACTGTAAATATGTCAAACTACATGAGGCCTTTAAATAAAGACTGAAACTGTTATGTCTCCTTTTTTCTTATTGTTTAATAAGACTTCTTGTTCACAGGCGACCTTGGATGTTCATCGAATAACTTCTTCAGCTCTCACATATCCAGGCATGACACCATTCAAGTCCATGAGGGTTTATTATTATGGTTTAAGGGTGGAGATTGGGATTGGATTGGTAGAGGCTGGCAAAAAGGCTGACAAAAATGGGGCTTATAGCTTGTTAATTTACCTTTTTAGAACATATAGTATTAGTGTGTCATTTTAAAGTCAAATAGTTTCTCATAAACAGATTTTAAGAATACAAAAGCAGGAGATAGATGTCAGATTAAGACGTCCTGTTCCCTGTTGGGTAAATACTAGTTTGCTTCCTCTTGTTCTGTGACTGAGGTCCAAAAATACACACAAAATAAATACTATATTTTGCACAAAGATACAGAAAACATAGATTCATACAGTGTGAAAAGAGTACATCAAGAAAAGGTGAAAATGCGTTTAAACTTACGTATCAAGTGTTTGCAGGCATTTGATGAATAATTGAAACCCTATGAGTCATTAGACTGAGATTTAAATATTTTTTTCTAGGTGCATATTTGAAGGCAGCGCAGCCAAACCCTGCTATGACTAAACCTCTTTAATGTCTTTTAATGTGGTCACAGTACTAATAGTTTCACTTCATAAACATGAAGTAAGTACATCAAGTCTGCTCGAATGAGAGTGTGAAACACATTTTTTTCCTTCTTTCCAGATGCCCTCCGCTCTGACTTTGACCCGAGGTAAATATTTGCCGGGTGGGTTCCTCTGCTCGTGGACAGCTTGGTCTTACTCTGCTGCTGTCAGTTTGCTCAGGGTTCAAAGATTAGCGTGCACATGGACAGTGTTTGCTTGTTTGAGAGCGAGAGCGCCGCCTGCTCCTCTTTAACCTGTCAAGTCAGACTCCTGGAGACAGTAATAGACCTAATTACTTTATATGTCTAAATTATTCAGGAGAGGTAAATGCATACACTTACATGCTATGGAATGATTATGTTAACCAGCTGACAGAAATTGTAGTAGAAATAGTAGTAGTCATATTTTATGAAGTTGTCATGCAAATACAATCAGATTCCACAGTCCATAGACAAAGACAGCAGCGGTGTATAAAGTAGTGACTTGGCATGTAGAGGCAGAAGAAAAATATTTATCTTGGCCCTGTATATCTTACCAAATTAAGCTACTCACCCTTAGAGTGCAAAGACAACAACAACAGGTGAACCATTAACTCTCATAAGCAACAAAACCTGCTCTTTGAACCTTTAAAAAAAAAAAAAAAAAGTCAATAACAGGATTTCAATTTTATATTTGCATCGTTCCATAATTTAACTCGAACAACAGAGGTACATCTCCTATTATGACCTTTTTCAGCTTTTTGTACCATAAATTTACAAACACTTGTAAATCATAGATTTGTGTTGTTGTTTCCATGTTAACATAAAATCAATTACAGCTCAAAAAATTCAGCCCCAAAACTCTTTCAAAGTTGCTATTACAAATTTAACATTATATTCCCACCAGTTTCCTTCTGTTCCTCCCCAAATTAAATTGAGTTCTGTCAAAGAGACAACTTATTAACATTAAACAAAGTTTTCAGGATTTCCGACTCACTTTAAACAACACACAAAAAAAATTCTTTTCAATTTTCACCAAAGCAAAATAATTTTGTATCATCTGCAAACATCATATATGAAAATGTTTTGTAACACTGCACATATCATTGATGCAAAGTATAAAGAGTTAAGGACCAATCATTGATGGCTGTGGGGTACTCCACAGCAATCTTCTTGAACTCTGACACTGTATCCTAAGAGTTTTCACATTACTGTCCATTTTCTAAGTTGCTTTTCATTGAGGAATAAGCGACACCTCTTACCCCATACCTCTCTATCTTTTCAATACCTGTCTCTTATCTGCTGTATTAAAAGCTTTCTGCAAGTCAACGTACAAACCAGTAAAACACAGTATTTCCTTTTGCATTTGCTATTTCCTCCACCATTTGCATTACTGCATAAGTTGCAGTTGTGTTTTCCCAAAATCTGTGCTGGTTTTTACTCAGTAAATGATTTTTACAGATGAACAGATTCAATAATGTCACTAATAACTTTTTGAAAATTTTTGAAAATTTTAAAAAGTGACGCTGGTCTGTAATTTTCCATGCGCTGTTTGTCCCCATGTTGAAAAAAAAGTTATTAACTGTATATACTTTACACTATGAGGGGGAAAAAAACCTTTTGAAAGGACAACGTTACAGGTCTTGACCTCTTTGACACTCTCCATATCAAAATGACATCATCATCAGGCAGGTAAGATAACATTAAATTTGGCTAAACACACCTGACAGCCAAACAATGAGCTGGAACTTGACTATCCCAGCTGCATATCACATAAATCAGAAGCAGCAGTAAAGGCTTTGATATTGCTCATACTACATCTATATGAGGTTCTTCTGATCTTATATGCATAAAAAGAAATGCTAATGATCAGGTTAGCGTGCTTATTTTGAGCTGTATAATGCTCACCATCATTTAGAGGTCTATTCTGTCTTGAGCAGCACTAGCATGTCTGAAAGTTTAACATGAGCCAAGGCGGTGAAAAATGAACATTAAGTAATCAATCAGGCAGAATTCTTTTACAATCTGTGTTTTAACTTAGCCTCAACATTTGTCTAAAGTTAGTGCTGCTACTTGAGTAAAAATTCAGGGACGGCATGAAGAGATACTTTTTTTTTCTTACCTCAACAGGGAGTAAAAGCTGCGTGATTAATGCATGTTTCAGTGCGTAGGACGCACCGTGTGAGGAATGAACAATACTTCATGTGTCATGAGTTTGGAAAGGCTCCGATAGATCCAACAACATTAATACATCATGACTCCATTGTATTTTATTCAACTACAAATTCTTGAAAGCTAAAGAGGCTAATCCTCCCAGGAGCAAGTTCATGAGAAGTTCACTCAAATTATGCAGAGATCATATTAGTTCTATAGCTATGTTCAATTGTTTTTGGCTCCATTTCCCAAAACAGTCAGCCACCTAATCTGGCTGTCACATAGATTCAGTCAGCAGCGAGACTCGGAAAAACAACCAAACAGACAAAAAGCTAAGATTTCCCTCCAATGCCTCAGGGCCTGTGGCTCATAATGTCCTCAATCTGCCATTACCTTCTTTCTTCTGGTGAAGATCATGGACCTGATCCTTTTGATAGGGGAGCATCTTAAATTGAATGAATGACATTGAAACATAAAGTGAAACATCGTTTTAGGTTTACAAGAGCTGCGAGCAGCTGTCACTGAGAAGCAAAGTGCCTCTAATCAAGTGCTACGTTTCCAGTGACTTTTCACTTCTCTGACCTTTCCTCAGATCCGTCTTAGCCTCTACACCTGTTGCCAAGTTACAGATGGCTCAGAGGTTGTCAGCACCCAAAAGATATTTCATCAGAGCCGGGTGTCCTCCTTCTACTTTCTTTGCTCTATGCATCATGAATGCACTCCTGCGTTTGGATATAGGATCAGCATTTTATGTGATAACTGAACTGGGAGGTCACATGAAGCAGCAGTCTGTACGGTGGCTAAGAACCGCCACTGCCAAATTAAATTAAATTAAATTTAAAAAATAAAAAAAAGCCACAACAAAAGTTACTGATGAAAAAAAAAAAAAAAAAACCACTGCAAATAGAAAAAGAAATGTTGCAGATAAAAAATAAAGCCACAATGTAAGTTAACGAAGAAAAAAAGGGCGATGAAAAAAAAAAAAAAGGAAAAAAAGTTACTGTGAAAATGAAAGGAAGTGAAAAAAAAAAGCTACAACAGAAGTGAGCTGCCTAGGACCAATAATGATGATGCACCAGTGTTTTACGTTCTAGCCACAGACGACGACGGCAAGAAGAAGAGCAAAGAAGTAAGTGGAAAGGTTATTGTTTAATTTTGCTTCGTGTACTTTTCAATGTGTCATTTGGCCATGTTGCGCCTGAGTCAATATGAAGTTGAACTGGAGGACGCCGGTGTAGTGTTAGCATTGACACCGGCACTTCACCGGGAAAACCCACTACGCCCCGAAAGACCACCCACGTGAAGAGAGTTTGCTAGCTTTACAGTTCGGTTGTTTTACTTATAGAAATAAGTACGCAAAGCCCTCGGTTTTTCCTGGTAGCTCACTTCCGCTGTGGCTTTTTTTACTTGCATCCTTTTATTTTCACAGTAAGTAACCTTTTTTTTTCTTCTTTTTTTTTGCGTCTTCCATTGTGGCTTTTTTTTTTTTTTTTTTTAAATCTGCACCGTTTCTGTTTTTATTTGCTGTGGGCTTCAGTTTCTTTTTTTTGCATTGGTAACTTCTGTCGTGGCTTTTTTTTTTTTTAATTATTTTTTCTGCAGCAGTGGCGGTTCTCGGCCACCATATATTCAAAATGTTCTACATATAAAGTTGGGGGAATAAAATCATTTAATTGATAACTGAACTGGAAAATCACATGAAGAAGCAGTCTGGACACATAAATGGTATTAAGTTCACATCCAGTGTTTCTATACTGTAACCTCCTCACCGCAGAGAAACTCCTCAACTTTTAGTATTCATGTTTCTACAGGAGCCCAAAATTGACACACATGCATTCATCTTTATTTACTGTAATGACTGGCTGATTTCAGTATCTTTTCCTGCCAGTATTTTAATTCAGTATTTGATGCTATTAACTTGAATCCTAAGAGCAGCAAACGTGAGTTCAAATTGTCCTTTTTTTTAAATCATATTTTGCCTCTTTATAAGCACATACAGGTAATTCTCATAAACAACTCCACACCAGAACATAAGAAAACTGATATTTTATTAAAAACGCAAAATAAAACATCAGTCAACAGCCACAACAATCTTGCTTTCCTCCGTTTCATTGTCTCAGCACTAAGTTTTACACAGATGGCAGTGATTTGTGTCTGTCTGACCTAGAAATGCTCATCAGCCTCACACAAAAAAACATGGAGAACTGCAGTTTTTGTCCATAGCCTTTATTGGAAATTCTTTACATGTAAATTCTCTGAACCTGCCCAAACCCAGCTTTAGAGACTATAAATATATATATAAAAAAAGGAATTGTAAAAGATGTTTTATTTCTTTTTTTTTTTGTAATTTTGTAGTTCCTCCAAGAACAAAGAAAGCATTTACAATCAGATTCAACTTGAGCAGGGCAGTCCATCTTCGTCGGTTCATCAAAATGTCAAACAATTTTAAGAGTGATTTTCTCAATTCGCAATCATATCGGGAAAAAAGCCGAATTTAGACAAAAAGAGTGGAAAACAATCAGCAGACAGATGAAGTCTGTAAGGATTCGATAACAGCACGAGCACACAGAACAGCACAGCACAGTACAGAGGAGGGAAAACTGACCACTGCTTCATCAGAGTAGAAAGAGATATATATGGCTAGCAACCTTGCCCCAAACTTTAGGAACTTCTGCACACAAAAAAAGTTTTGTTAAATGTTCAAAAATGTTTCCAAAATTTTAATCTTTTTAAATTTTTGCAGCAGTTTTCCTGACACCAGAGGTTTTGACAAATATAAGACCCTCAAAACCTGCACTACTAAAGCTCTACTGTCTCCTGAAGATCAGCCAGGTGAGTGCACAGAAGAGTGCAGATCAGGTTCAGCTAACAGTGCGTTCACCCATTTACAAGGAAACTGCTGGGATTAAAGTCTTCAAAGTACAGGGAGAGAGCACCACCTGGTGTCTAAAACCAGGACAGGCAGGGAAACCGTCACCGCACTTCCACACTTGGACCGTTTCACAAGTGTTGAAGTTACAAATGTCATCGTTTCTGCTGTGACTAATGTAGAACGTACATTTCTTCAAGAGTGATTCGAAGAAAGAGCCCTGGTTGAACCTTTTCAATTTATTGGATGTGATTAAGATTGACTAACAAGTTGTCATTTACAATACCAAATAAAATGTGCAAAAAATACCAAATATTCAAAAATGCCCATTTTCTTAACAAACATCACATTTGTTGTTTTAAACACTGTTTACAAATGTTTATGCACATAATCTTAATAAAGTATGGTCCTGTAGCTGCTGGCATAATAGGTGCATTTTACACAGGAGGAGTGCAAACTGACAGAGCACTGAGGTACCGGTTCTTTTAAAGTGGCAGGGCACTACAGAGGAGGAGAGGCTGGTCAGCTACACACACACCAAGAGAGAGAGAGACTCCAAAGTTTTTGGGCCCTAGTTTTTAAAAACATCTTGGCAGCAAGAGCTGAGATGAAACTTGTGTGTTAGTGAGAAGATTACATGTGTCTTGATCCAGATTTCAGCAAGACATCTGAAACCGGACTGTAAAAACAAGAAGAAAAAAAACTACGACTATTAAAATCCTATCCTGTTTGTCTATAAACTTGCACTTGAGATAGTTTTGGTGTCAAAATGAGTAGAAAGAAGAGATTTACAGGTGACAGGAACATTTTCAGCGAACAGTGCTGTTTTAAACGCCAAGACAGACTTCCCAGAGAGTTTTGGCTTCATGGACACCACAAGTACTAAAAGTTATCTAAAACACAGTGACATGTAACAGAGGTTTGGTTGGAACTTTCTACAGCTAGACATCCTGAAAGACAAGTGACTGCTGTACGCTGACGGGCCTCGGGTTACACCGCACGTGTGTTTTGAGTACAAAGAAGTTCACAGAACAACATTTTTAAGTTAAACTACACTTGAATGTGGGTATGTGTTTGCATGTCGTCAATCTGGAACTGAAATTCGAATCAAAAAAACTCAAGAGCTACAAGGACCTCTCCGTTATTTCGATTTTTCTTTGCTGAGAAAAAGAAACACCGATATTAAACATGTTACAAATATAAATCAGTTTTCTTAAGTCATTTTTCAAAATATGAACACAAAAGTTCAAAAACACAAAAAAAAGTCCTTCTGAGGATTAAGTCCCGCTGTCTGAGAGAAGAGGAGGAGGAGGAGGAGGAGGAGGCCTCTTGATCGTTTTGTGGAAGAGCGGGACAAAAGTTTTAAAGCAAAGAGAGAGGACAGAGTGGAAACCAAAAAAAAAAAAAAGCACCCGGGATTCATCAGCGTTTCTGTCTCTTGGAATGTCGCTGCCGGCTGGACCGCTCCTCATCGCTGCTCACGTCGCCCCGGCCCCCCCTCTGACGAGTTCTGCGTGTGTCCCGCTCGCCATCGCTATCCTGCTCCCTGTAATCTTTCTTACCGGATGTGGCAGAGGAGCGCTTACTTCTCCTTCTGCCGTCATCCTCTTCCTCTTCTTCCTCCTCTTCCTCCTCCTCACTCTCGCTCTCCTCTTCCTTCCGACCCCGACTGTTCCTTGCTCTCTTCCCGCTTGATTTTCCGTTCTGCATCTTTTTCTTCGGTTCCTCCTCCTCTTCTTCTTCTTCCTCTTCCTCCTCCTCCTCTGCTTCCTCCTCGTCTTCATCCTCCTCCTCCTCAGATGTTGCAGGTTGTTGGCAGACGCGTTTGCGTGAACGCCGGCGGAGGTAGCTAAGGCCGGGCAGCAGCTTTTGGAGCAGCTCGGTGAATGACTGCTCTGTTTTGACCATGCAGGAGAGCACGGTGCTGCCCTGCTGGTTGTACTCCTCGGCGTTGGAGAAGACCAGTTTCACGTCTTCGAGGAAATCCTGAGCATGACGGTACGAGCCCTGGCTGAATTTTCCCAGCATCGTTTGGAAATCCATCGGCTGGGAAATGATGTCCAGGTAGTCCTCGGCTTCATCGAGTGACACAGGCTCCCTGTAGAGAAAGCAGAACACGAGGTCAGGGTGGTGGACTAGAGTATAGCTTGTTGATCGTGATAGATCTTGGACTTAAAGGTATATTCGTAAAATTAAGTTAGGGTAAAACACACCGTAGAGTTAGACACCCCATTAAGAGATGAATGTTGCCGACCGTTTGCTTCCCTAGTTATGCCAACTTTAGTAACGACCGCACGATAGCAATACACAGCGGTCTCAGGAACCACACGCTCAACCAAAACGCCACTCTTTAGCCACAAATAATGCTCAGAACAGCACCTAACTTCATCAACAGTACATACAGGGTCCAAGTGACCAAACATCTATTTAACTTTGCCTAATTTCTTTAGCAAAGAGACTAAACACAACTCACCTACTCTCTTCAAGCAGCCGCTTGTTTGTAGCGAGACCTCGAGTCCATCACGGACTACAGTGGGGTGACACAGCTCAAGGAAGAACATTTAAGATCATTTCTTCATGGAAATGCAATCAGACAGAGACTCTAAGGCAGAAGAACTACCGCGTCTGCAGTGCAAAATAATTAATATGATGATTATTACTTCAAGGAAATGATAAAGAAATGATCATAAATGTTCTTCCTTGAGCTGTGTCACCCCACTGCAGTCAATGGACTTATCTGAGGCCACTGTACAAACAAGCGGCTGCTGGAAGAGAGTGGGTGAGTTGTATTTAGTCTCTTTGCTAAATAAATCAGGCAAATTACAAAGATGTCTGGTCGCTTGGACCATATATGTACTGTTGATGAAGTTAGGTGTTGTTTTGAACATTATTTGTGGCTATAGAGTGGCGTTTTGGTTGAGCACATGGCTCCTGAGACTGCTGTGTATTGCTATCATGCAGTCGTTACTAAAGTTGGTATAACCAGAGAAGCAAGCAGTCGGCAACATTCATCTCTCAATGGGGTGTCTAACTCGGTGTTACGGTGTGTTTGACTCTAACTTAATTTTATGCCGGAATATCCCTTTAATCCTTGACACATACAAGACAGTATTTTTGTCTTTGCACCTGCCCTGATTTTTTACTCTAGGGGACTTAGAGTAAGTCCCTCTGTTAGCCTCCTCTTGCTATATTGATCACAATGCATCGAAGTACTCCAACTAGTTGGCTACAGAATGATTAATAAAGTGTAAGGTAACGTTTGAGTCAACTATGTTAAGTTTGTCCGTAGTTCACCTGAAAGGCCAGCTGTAGCGGAATTTCATCAGCTTCTTGAGGATTTCTTCACACCTCTCCAGCTCCAGTACCTGCCTGCGCACTCCTGTTTGTGAACTCTGTCGCACCTACAGAAAGAAACAACAAGACAGCAATGAGTATAAACAAAACTAAGACACCGCACTGTTTTAGTTTTGAATACAAAAGCCCTCCTATGTTTATTGCTTTCAGTATCATATTCTTTAAAGATACTCTGAAGAAACAGCATGTCTCTCTTTTCTATACGAGCGCCTCGGTGGTTTCTCACCAGTTCATCGATGTCTGCAGGGCTGCTGGGGCCGGTTCTCTGTTTGCTGCTCTGACTGCTTGAAGACGATGTCTTTTTGGGTTTACTTTTAGAACTTTTTTGTCGCGATGAAGACTGCTTGTTCTTCTTCCTTGGTCTCACTGTTAAGAAATAATGAGAGGTGATCAAGACAACAAGAAACAACAATAAGAAAGCAGCCTCAGTGAAAGGTGGTGTAAGTACTTAAAGACAAAAACAAAAAAAAGTTTGTCAGGAAGTCATTGTTTGAACCAGCGCTGATAAGTGCACTCTTAAAAAAAAGAAAGTAGTCAACTGAGAGAAAGCGTCACTTTGTGCCCCCTGAGGGAAGTTGACTTTGTGAACTGTGTTCCTCTCTTCAACTCTTTGGCACCGCTGTATGTAACTTTCTACAACGTTATCCTTGACAAGCAGCTTGAACCGACAGAGAGGGATCATCCTGCCACATACTCTGAGTGAAACCAGAGTGAGGCTGAGCTTCAAAGCTAAAGGTCCAGACCTAAGCTCACGACATGACAACACGCAGACAATGGAGACTGAGAAAAGGCAGGGGACGAAATTCACCCTCAGCATTCTTCTCATTCCCGGCTTTAGAAATACAGGGTTTCTGCAGGTTTCAACAAGTCGATTAAGACTTTTTAAGAGTGTTTTAAGACCGTAACGAATACAACTTAAGATCAAGTCTACATCTATACTGGCAACAAAAGTACAAAAGAAGATTTGACATGACTTCAAATCAATCTTTATCCCTATGACACTTTATCTACTTATTATTTCTAAGTAGATTTAATATAATTTTAAGACCTTTTAAATAGTATTTGAGACATTTTATGACATTTTGAGAGAATTTTAGACATTTAAAAAGGCCTTTAATTCAAATTATTCCATTTTAGATGTTTCAGGACTTTTTAAGACCCTGCATATACCCTGCAAATACCAATGAGGCCTCTTTTTCAAACTAGCTACCAAATTAAATCATATTTTTTAATTTATTTATAAAACGTTATTTGTCTTTTTTGTGCATTAGTTTTCAATTAAAAACCCAGCAACAAGATGTTAACTGTTTTTACCCATAGCACTGATGATACTGGGGTTGATAGTCTTATATTTTGTCTTTATCTAGACAAAATCGTATATAAAGATATATAATGAACATGTTATATTTATAAAAAACAACAACCACAAGTGCTGCTGTGTATATTTTACACGGGTTGTGAGGACATTTCAATGTTTATGGCAGTGGTTCTCAAGTCCAGTCCTCGAGGCCCACTGTCTTGCATGTTTTGGATGTTTCCCTGCTCCAACACACCTGATTCAAATGATCAGCTCGTTATTAAGCCATTACAGAGCTTGATAACGAGCTGATCATTTGAATCAGGTGTGTTGGAGCAGGGAAACATCCAAAACATGCAGGACAGTGGGCCTCGAGGACTGGACTTGAGAACCATTGGATTATGGGATTGTCGACTGATCTCTTCTGGAGCCTCCCTGCATCAAGTACAGACTAATGGTTGTTCCCTGTGAATGAATGTAAGCCAATGAAAACCTCTTTTCCACATGTTGTATTAACACATTTTCTCTTTTTGTTGTTCTTAGTTTCACTCATCACTAGTCTGATGTCTTCCATGTCTTCCTCCCCATAAACCTGCTTGGGTCCATTTTCATTTAGTACTGGATAACAGCGATGTTAGAGAAACCCCACAGGTGGTGATTTGGGTGGGTCTAATCTCTGATAACACTTGTTAAAATATCTTGAACTAACAGATATGTCATCAGATGTGTGCCCAACATTAAAAATATACCCTTGGTTAGCAGTATGCTAACTTTTGAGCTGTTGCTGAAACAATATTGATAAAAACCTGGATGGACAGAAAAATGTACCATGTGTTTTAATGATCTGCTGACTGATGTGTGCTAAAGCCCCCAACAGGAGTGAAATATCTGTGATTTATTAGTCCTTTGCTGACACTCACAGCTGTGTCCCATGGCCTTGTAATCGTTATCTTCCTCATCGTCTTCATCTTCCTCAGACTCCTCTTCTTCAGACTCCTCTTCGTCCTCTTCTTCATCTGTGTCTTGGTTGTAATTCCTATAAGAAGATTTTCGTGATTAAAACTTGTGTCAGCAAAGACAAAGACAGAACTTTTAAGGTTTTGTTAAATGGTTAAAAATAGGAAAAAAAACACCCTGCATAACATAACTAGTGATTTTAAGGAGAATGTGTGACTGTACATATATTTAACAGTTATTCTAAATATCTTAATCATCAAAATAGCCCTCACTGTAACAAAACAAACACGAGGCCGACAGTTACCTTGAACGGGAGCCTCTTCTGGCCACAGTGGGCTGGCAGGCGGGGCACAGCCACTCTCCAGCAGGAATACGATACAAAGCTGGTCGCAGGCAGAACAGGTGGAAGGCCTTGTTGCACTCATCACAGAGGATAAGTTTCTCATCATCACCTGGAAGGTTTAAACAAACAGTTAAACTGAGCAATATTAAGGTTTTTACTCTAATTCTGTTGAGTACATCCACGCATTTGTTCTTCCCTGCACGTCACATTCAAGATACAAGAACTTAATTGATCCTCAAAGGGTTATTCATGATCATCATCATTCATTCACTTAGAACAAAGCTGCTTCTCTTATCACTACAGGTTCACCTGTTGGCTTGCGGCACTGCCAGCTCTGAATGTAGACCTGCCTGACACTACTAGTCTGTCCTGCTCTGAGTCTGTCCCTGCTGCCCTGTCTGGATCTGGTCCTACACTCCGTCAGCTTCAACACAGATGGGCTCTGCCTGAGCACTGATGGGGGGGGGGCAAAGACTGTTAGCAGAGCAGCACTACTCTGGTCAAAGGGGAAGCTTCAAGGTCAAATACATATGCGATACACAGGACTGACTGTTATAGTGACTGTTTAATATAATTTCTCAAAGGGTACTGGCGTGATGGCGTGATAGTTTCTGTGTTGCACGTTTTATTTACAATGTACGTCAAGTGCTTACCTTTCCTGCGACAGACTTTGCAACGAGCGTTCTCGGCGGACATGTCCCACTTGATGCAAGCGTCCAACATCCCCAGCAGGACATGCATGCGGGAAAAGGTCTGAGCCTCGCGGATAGCGGTCTTCCACTTTTCCACGGCTGTTGCCACCTACAAAAGGAAAGACCAGACTCGTTTAAACAAGCAGACATCTGAGATTTATTTCACTGCCGTTAAAAGAAAATCATTGATGAGTAAAAAAAATCGTGCTAATCACAGCGACATCGTAACAGGGATGGTTGTGACACACAGAATTCGTCTTTTCTTACCCTGGCGTCTTCTGCCAGCCTCTTCTCCTCGTCCACCTCTTCAGCCTTGCTGCTTTCTTCCCCTCCCTGCCTTCTCTTCTTTTTCTGTTTCGGAGCCATGAATCCCTGCAGGAACTTTTTGATCACGCAGGCCTGAATGGTGATGATGCACTCCCCGAACTCTTTCAAGCTCTCCATGTCTTTCAGCTGTGAATGAAAGAATAGTTTCAGAGATGCTGGATGTAGAATAACCTAATCCCACCCTTTATTGTAGGGATTTCAGGCCAACAAATACTGAATGTATTATTACCTGCTCTTCAATGTCTACGTTGTCATCCAAGTATCCCAGGCCGCCCTTCTGGAGTCGTGAGGCTACCTCCTGGATGTCACTGCGCAGGTAATTGAGCAGCTCTGCATAGCCATCGCAGGTCCTGAGGCCCAGTTTGGCCTTTCGGGTCAGATGGATAGAGTGCATGATGTCCTGGTATCTGTTGAGGGAAAAAGGGACAGCTTTGCCTTTGGTTTCAGCTTTACTCCGTTCTGGTCTCACACTCTCTGCTCTGGATTCTGCTGATCTTAAGTTCTATGGCGCTTTTACTAGGGCTGGGATGATATTTTCTTTTCTCCTGATTTGCTTCTTCTACGATTTTTTGGAGGCTGATTCAATTTCAATTGTGAGTTTACGATATTGTCGATTTTCTCGAATTTTAGTCTGCATTTTTAACACCAGTGAAATAGCTGAAGGATTATGATTGTCTACTGACTAATTCAGAAACCATATGTCCCAGAAAAAATACACATCACATGTAAGTCAGTTTTTGAGATTTAAATTTTGATGTCCGAAATAATCGCACGAAAAAAAATCACTCCTGGTGTGTAAGGACCTTTATTCTTAAATTTGAAAAAAAAAAAAAAAATATATATATATATATATATATATATATTTTTTTTTTTTAAACAAAACAAAACAAAACAAAAAAAAAACGATTTCAAAATTGTAAACCAAAAAAATCATGCTACTTTTGTGATTCGATTTTTTCTCCCACTGCACACATATCCTGGTTATTTTCAACTTACAGTCTAAAACTTCCCATAACATAGATGTTTGCTGCTGCTTTGACTAAATAAAGACAAAGATGTCACAGTAAACTTCTTCAACTGTCTCAACAGACCTGTGAGAGCTGCTATAAAAAGTTTCTCATCATTAAAGTCACCATATATTGTGAGGATAAACACACCTGCTTTGTATGTTTGCCTTCAGTTCACTCTCTCGAGCCCCCTGAGAGTGAAGACTTTCCACCAGCTCCTCCAGCTCAAGAGGATTGTCACATATGAACCTACATAAAGAGAGAGGCAGAAAATTACAGATATGAGATTGTGTTTAAGTACAAATAAAAAGGCAGAATTAAGGAAAAAGTCAGAATAAGAGCTCTCACCAGAGGTTCTGTCCCTGTTTGGGGACAGTCGTTTCTATACAGATGTCAGCTGCTGCTCCCTGCTGGGCTCCTTCACTAACAGCACCATCTATGCTGCAATCATCCTTTTCAGCTCCTACAATATCATGAAAAATTTGGAACTTTTGATTAGTCGAAAAATCGCTTAAGTATTTGTCAATTGCTGACATTGAAGCCTATATTTATTTGTCAACACACACGCACTAAAATAAGGATTAAATGTGCGTTTACCTTGTGAATCCTGAGTAGCAGATGAAACAACATCCTCTTCTTCCTCCACTTCAGGCTCAGTTGGTTTTTCCTCAGGGGGTGGAGTGAAGCTGTAATCAATGCCTTCATGCACCCAGCCCTTCTCAATGTACAGACCAGGAACCACATCAGAAAACACCCAGTATCTGAAGGGGAAAAAACACATCGAGCAACCATGATTATTACCAAGACACTCCTCAAGTAGACATTAGAAAGAAGGTCGTAGATCTATGCAGACTGCTGAGAGTTGTAGTAGTTTTCTTTGAGAATGAATCCCACACAATTACCAAGCACCTCACTAACTAGTTAACCCACCTGTTGTGATTCCTGTCTGTTCCCAGGGGAGACCTGCGCATGACAAGTCTGGCTTTGGTGATGCCGTCCTGGAAGGCCCTTTCTGTTGCGGCTCTCTGTCTACGTATCCGCTCCTCTTCTGCCTCCCTCTCCATGCGCTCTACAAAAGATGGAATTCAATGATTATAAATAATGAGCGAGAAACTCTGACTTCTTACTTGTCGGGTGATTCATGAATCCGCCTGGCGCTCTCTATCCACCTTTATTCTGTCTGTCCATTTCCTCTTTCTCCTTTTTCGCCTGCATGGCCATCAGCCTCCTGTTCTTCACGGAGGTGATCATGTCTTCAGGCTCCGGCTCCGGCTCCACCTTGGGCTCTATTTTGGCTTCTTTTTTGCCCTCCTTTTTTGCTGACCCCTCTCTCTTTTTCTCACCTTTGAAACAAGACAAAAATAGACATATTTGTAATGCTGAATTATTTTTTCTTCTTCTTGTATTTAGACAACAGATAATCAAAAATGTTCATATTTTCACGTGTTACTCAAGAAAAAAGCCCTTTTAAAAAACTTGTATACCTTTGCCCTCCTCCTTTCGCTTCTTCCTTTCCTCTCTCTTGCGGTCATTGACCTCTTTCATCATCGCCAGGCGCTCTTTCCACAGCTCAGCCGAGCGCTTCTGCTTGGCGTCGACGTGGTCTTCGACCGAATACGTCATGAGAATGCGATGGCACAGAGCTACCAGCAGGTTGACCTTCTCTTCAGGGCTCAACTCAAACACCTCGATTGTCTCAAGTTTTTCCAAGAACTCGCTGGTCACCACGTCATCGAAGTTGCCGACCGGTGCGGAGTCCTCTGAGCCTTGACCGCTGTCCTCGCCATGAGCGTCGCACGGTCGCAGGCATAACCTTGCCAGCTCTGACACTGAGTGCATGGTGAGAGGGATCTCGGATAAGGGCATGTCGAGCTCACTGTAGCCTTCTGCGAGCTCATCTTGTAGCAGTGTCTGCAGCAGAACCACCAGCACTCGGTTTAGGTAAAGAAAGCCTGAGCGCTCCCCAGCCAGTGCTTCCATCAGAGCCACGGCTGTGATGGGATACTGGTCTTCTGGCATCAGCAGTCCTGAATAGCAGTGAAGAAAGTCTACCACCATCGCTACATCACCAAACAAGGTGTTGGGCAGCCCCTCAGGCATGTCTACGAGCTTGAATGCTGGCAGGTTCTTGCCACCTTCAATCTCCTGGTCTTCGTATCTGCGGGATTTTTCGAGGCGGACCAGCAGCTCTTTCTCGCGCTTCTCTTTAGCCTTTTCTCGCAGTTTCTTTTTGAGTTCCAGTCGTCTTCTCTTCGTCTCTACCTGCTTTTCCTCTTCACTCATGGCTGCCCAACGCTTCTTCTGCTCCAGTAGCTCCCAGCGTTTCTGTACCAGGTCCCGCAGCTCCTCGGGTAGTCGGCCTCGATCATCAGGGGACAGGGTCTTTGCAGCCTTGGAGACGAGAAAGGAAAGGGTGGTCTTCTTCTCCTCTTTGCCTTTGTGCTCCTTATAATAACGGAGAAGGTGCAAAGCCATAGGATGCAGTGGCTTTCCGAGTTTAGGGCTTCCCAGACTGGAACTTCGAGACCTCTTCTTGGGGCTTCCAGCAGGAGCGCTCTTAGCCAGATGAAGCAGAGTCATCTGCTTCATCTTCGGTGTTTTAGGACCAGCTTTGCCGTCTTTCTTCGAGGCTTTGAGGATGTTGAGCTTCTTATCGCTGCTTTTCCCACTTTTCTTCCCTTCTTTCTTCTCCCCAGACTTCTTGCCTGATTTGGGGGTTGAGGGAGAAGAGCTTTTGCCTTCCCCTTTCTTTGGAGTACCTGGGTTCTTGACTTTGAGCGGGGAACCATTCATCTTTATTTTCTAAAATACAGACAACACAAGCTCTTTAACCTAAGCTTCAACATTAAGGTAAAACAAAAACACAGAGTTTCATTCTAACTGAGGAAAGTTAACGTTAATACTGGCAAGCTAACCTGCATGTGGCCCCAGATAGTTGGGCTGAGGGGCATGCTGAGAGAGTCCTTCTTCTTTTTCCTTTTCTTCTCTCCCTTCTCATTTCCTGAATCCTCCCCTGGCGTGTCCGAGGTTTTCAGCTTCTTGCTCGGTTTACCTTCTGGAGATGTCAGGCTCTTACGCTTCGCTGAGGGGTTCTCTGCCAAGAACTGAAGTCAAACAAAAGTGTAAGAACCAACATAAAAAGGCAACGTTTCCTCTAAAATAACACTCAAGAAACTACATCAAGGTGTTTACCTTGTGTGGATCCAGAAGAAAGTCACTGAATTTGCTGGGAAGGTTAAACTTTTTCACCAGTTCATCTTCAACCACCCAGGGGGCGCTCTCCCCCATGCCAAGCCTCAGAGCATAATGTCTGATGAAGTAACGCATGATCTCCTTTGTTGGTGGGCGCTCTGTTCTGTACAGGCTGTCTGCTGGGACATCACTGATCACCTGAAGATGTAAATTAAATGTCATAGTGTCTGTGTCCTTGATCACACAAAATCATACGGGTTTTTTAAATTCATGACAAAAATACAAAGGCGCACTAACCTTGTCCTCACTAATGAGCTTCACATCGTACTTATGAGGGAGGAATTTTGGCATCACCCATTTTTTCTTCTCTTCCTTCATGGCTGTAGGAAGTTTCCGAGGAGAACGCCGCGCTCTGTCACCTGATAAAAAGTTCGACAAAACCATAAGTGGGAAATAAAGGCAAAGTGTATTTGGATAGATTTCCAATGTGCTTTAAATGTTAATGCAGCGGACGCACTGAGACTCTCCCTCCTGTTTTCCTCCTCTCGGGGGGCAGGTTCCTTCCTTTGGTTCTCCTGACTTGCATTCTCCTTGTCACTGGATGGAGAATCACAGGCACCTTCGAGCTTCTTCTCCCCCGTCTCTCCCTCTGGGTTCTCCAGGGGGTGGATCTTCACCACCTTCACCCGCAAAGTTTTACCCTTGCCCAACTGAGGTGAAAAGGTCTCATGAATATCTCAAAAGACACAAGCGCTTATTACAAATTGGATAAGTTACTGCAAATGTTAGTTTACTATGGTAAGCACTAGTGGATATGATGACGTCAACATGCCACAAGACCATGACGTTGTTTCTGGTGGATGTAAACTAAGTTTTTCCAACATTATTTGGATGAGGAGGCCCCGCTTACGGGCGTCATCAGAGTCTGACACGGTTTTCCTTGGATGTGGCGGCAGCACTTGCTCAAAACCAGTGCAACAGCATTGAGGCAAAGGTTTGGCTAAAACTACCAAGAAAGAAGAAAAGTAATCTGTCTTCTTCTAAATGTGATATCCTGACCCCGCCCACACCCACCAAGTGCACAATAGGGATGTGCCGATATACGATTTAATCGCGATATGTGATATTAAACGGCCACGATGATGAAATCGTAGGGTACTGTAATTATCGTTCCACAATTATAATCGACAAACTCTTGAATTAAGTACATTAATGCCAGCCGAACAAAAACGGGAACATTAAGAGAGAAAATGAAGAAATTTAAAAACAAAATGCGTGGCCACCCACAATGCATTGTGGCCACCCAAAGCACAGTTGGAGCGTGTCCACTCTGTGAACCGGAAACAGTTTGAAGAAGAAAAAAAAAGTTGACGCACACGTTCAAACTTCCAACCAACATAACGATGCAGCCGGACCAAGAACAGTCGGAGAATGAGAATGACGAAACGCCTCAGCTATTAAAAAGATTTCCTTGGCAGTATGGACATTTTACGGCTTCACAAAACAGACGGAGCAGGTAAACCTGACACTTATCTGCAGGTTATGCCGCAAGGAAGTTGCAGCGCCGTTGTCTAACTCTTCAAACCTACGTGCCCACCTCCATGAACACCATCCAGCATCGTTCGCCCAAACGATGCTGGAAAAAACAACATGACCGCAACAAGTTTGGTCTACTCTACTGCTTATTATTGACAACGTTAGTGACTTTCTGCTAACTTTAGCTCCAAAAAGCTAATGCTCACAACGTTGCGTTAGCTGCCTCTTGCTCATATTGTTTGTGCGTGTCATGCTGTGGACAGAGAAGTGATTTCGCAGTTTTTTGCCATTTTTAATAACGTTAAAAGCAATGCGCTAATATCGTGATAACATCGTGAATCGTGATATTTTGGGCCACCAATATCGTGATATCTTATTTTTTATATTGGCACATGCCTAGTGCACAATCAATCTGCAGAAGGATCAGTCATATGAGACAACTGTTAGCTATTGCTTTTGTTAACAGGGACTCAAGACTGCAGCTTATTTTATACACAAATAGGCCTCGTAATTGCGACAGCAGTGAGGCTGTTGGCAGCTCCTTTCAACTAAAAACACACGTACACATAGAGGCTCTTGTCAAACATCATCACATGATCTAAATATGAAATTAGAAAACACAGAATATAAAAACTAGATTTAGAAATATATCTTTAAAAAAAAAGAAATCATACTGACCAGGAAGTCACACTCTTCACTGACAGCATACTTGGTAAGGATTTCTACCCAGGCCATTTCAACCAGTTTGTCTAAAGACACTGTGTTGTGGTGGACCATCTCGAGGACCGGCTTCTCGAACCACTGAGGATACTCCTCTTGAAGTCTGCATAAAGAAAATGCCCAAGAGTTAGACTGATTGACATTTTTATACAGATAGTCTCAGTTTAAAGGTAGAATTTGGTTAACATTCACATATTATTTTCCATTGTTTTAAATTACCACAGTATTTAAAACCATGATGAAAAACCACAGCCCTTCCGGTATAAGAGATTAAATTAGTTCATGGGTGTGATGCTCTCTATTCATGGTATTGTGTCTTTGGCAATGTCATGTCTTTCGTCAATTCTTCACTAAGCCTGAGCATTACATAACAGGCTAAGGGAGGCACGAGAGTTACCAGCAGGGGGAGTACAATCTCTTGGCAGATATAATTAGATAGAGCTTAACTACAGCCCATGATCCCGTGTGTGTAGTCCTCTGGGCAGCTGAGCATTGCATTGCCATCTCTTTGGGACAAACAAATAAAAACACAGCTTCTTTTTGCTTATGGTACTTGAAAAAGTATTGAGAAAACCAGTTTGTGATCTTTGCACAGCAAGGGACAAGCTGGAATATTCTTGATATATTTGGGGGCATGCTCTCCTTTTATTTCAGAGGAAGATAAAGGAACTCTCAACAGGCCATTGCAGATTCAAGGATGACTCAATCACACACCCTCTAAATAGAAGAGGAGGAGCACTAGACTTAACCAATCAGGGCAATACAGCAAGCCTCATGACCTTCATTGGACGAGTATGGCTCTTCCTAGATACTACAGAGCTCCTGTTAGAGAAGCTAATCTGTATCCTTGGACCAAAGCATCTACAGAACTAAAGGTGGTATTTATAGGTTGACTACCAAGAGATTTACAGGACATCTTACTAGAAGGCACAACTGCTTTTTAGATAAACTGAGACAGCAGATCATGCAAAATCTGTATGGAAAGTAGGCTATTATTTTACGAGTTAGATGAAACTACTGAAGCATCCAAAGGTTGTCAATAAAATACTAACAGTTCTGTGACTTCTTGTTCCTCCTCCCAGGCTTCTTTGTGTGTAAGCTGGTTGCTTCCAGTGCTCTTGCAGGTCCAGATGCGCTCAGCATACCTCTGTATGCGAGCCTCATACTCTCTGAAGATATTGTGTCAAGGAAACCATAAGGCCCATCGATATATTCACCCCTTGTTTAGTCACTTGCGTTCTCATTTATGTTCCATTATTCATGATATACTGTCACCGATGACATTATACAAATAATCCAGAATGACTAAGCCTAAGGAAACCCAGCACACACAGCAGACTTTTCACATTTTAAAATATATGCGTTGTCACACACCAAGGCACAAAAACATAAAAGAGCCATAAAACAATATTTGAAATAAATGTGGAGTTGACAAAATCTTGCTGGGGAAAAGAATTTAAGGTCTTTTACAGTAAGTAAATACACTTAATTAAGGCAATGTTAGATTTGGAGGAAAAACTTTAAGATAAATACCAACATAGAGACAGGTTTTCACCACATTGATAAATATGTCTTAATAACAGTTCTTAGGTGAAGAATAGACACAAATTTGTGCATAGGGTGGGGGGTAGCCTGTATAAGTCCATACTCTTGACTCTGTACTCTTTACTGTACCTAGGGATGGGCGATAAAACGATAAAATTATATATCGAAAATTAATTTCCCTCAATATCAATATAAAACATGGTCAATATGTTTTTTAATACCCGGCATTTTGCTATGTTTTGGTAGACTATGCGAACAGCCAAGAAAAGGGGAGTTTTTTCGGGTCCGCGTCACGCTGAACCAATCATGTTCTGAATTCGAACCAAATAGCAAACAACTGTGTAATAGCAGACTGCAGCTACACGCAACCATAGCACTTAACACCAAAAACAGCCTGCCATTCAGTCTGCTTTCTTTAGTGCAACCCCTTACGACAAAGAGACACAAAGGCCTCACAGATGCAGCAGCTCATTGTATTGCAAAAGACTGTTAAATTACATTTTTTATACCATGATATATTGTTATCGACTGATATGAAAAAAATATATTGTGATAAACTTTTTACCATATCGCCCAGCCCTAACTGTACCTAATTCATGGTGATCCACTACACCATCAACACTTTTTATAACTTCAACAATCAATTCAAGAACAGTTTGACCTGCTTTACCATGTCAACAAAGCTGGAAATGTAAAGTACAGTAGAGTAGAATCAAATTGCAGAGGTGCTCATAATGTTATGGCTGCTCTGTGCTTTTCAGGCTTAAAGCATTGAGTGAAAATTAAAGTTACACGCCACTATTGAAGGAAGGGGAAAAGTAACAGACTGTTTTTGGGGGTATATGCCAGACAACTACATGAACCCTAAATTACTGTAACTATTTCCTATTATTCAAGCAAAGAGACATTTTACGTACATCGCGTGACACTCTGAGCTGTCATAACCTCTACACGCTTCATAACACGGGGGAAATGGTTTAATATCACAACAACCCAACTGTTTTCCCAAAATATTCATTAACATGTCCTTTCTTGACAAACTAAAATAACAAAAGATGGGATACTAAACGTACTCTGCGTGCTAACATTTGCAGCTAACTTTCTCCAGCAGAGCTCCATCTCCAGCCTGAGGAAGAGGAGGAGACGGCTATTGTGACATAAAGGGATACCTAATGTTAGCAGCAGCGGGCTAGCTTCTCTCTTAGCATTGCTTTCTGACAGCCAGGCCGTAGCAGCCGAAAGTGAAAGGACATATATTAGCCCCTCTGTACGCAAAGCTTTACCCATAAACAGTATTAAGTTTCACATAACACCTTATCTTTACATAACTATATGTAATAACCAGCTAGCTTTATTCAAATGAGCTCATTAGCAAAGCAGAAAGATTGGCTAGCTAGCGAGGCTGTCAACCGAGTTTTAAATATGTACATGCTGGGAACGACTGAATGGCGAAAAAACGTCAGGTAGCGTGAAATCAGACGTCTCATATTAGGCTTGTTGCGTGGCTGTGTAAGCATAGATTTAACCATGTTGACAAAGGCGGTTATAATGTTACAGTGAGCCGGGTTGTCGAGACTGAGCATCAGCATCTCTTCAAAGGATACTCTTTGTTCCTGAAGGCCTCCTTGGTGTGCTCGATGATGTAGACCTCTTCTCCCGGGCCTGGTGGCTCGGATAGCGGCTTTACGAGTGGGTACGGTTTACGGCCTAAAAGCGGTGCCATGTCGAATACGCAAACGGCACGGTACCCAGCGGCTGAAATCAAACCTTGTAGTCACAAACTACCAAAACAATATGCAATAGAATGTCCTTAGCATTTATACGAGTGTCCAGAAATGTATCCGCACGTCTCACGTTACCGCCGGCAGGCCCGGCACCTCAACGTGTAGCAGCTAACTGACTTAGCTGGTCGGTTGGAAGGCTAGCTCGTTGCAAAACAATAACAGTGCGCTTCTTTCCATCCGCCTCATTGCACTCTTATTCTCTCCTCTCGTAGCGCTGCCATGCTGTTTTTTTTACACAACGTCCATGAAGACGAACAGGAAGCTGGAACTGTCCCCTTTGGTGTAGTTGGTAAACTTTAAACCCACACACCACCAGATGAACAGGAAAGGATGTAAAGCACAGAGATCAAACTCGTGGCAGCAGCGGGCAAAGATCTGTTCTAGCGCGCTTTACGAACCGCACATCTGTTGAAGAAGCAGGTTTGTTTTCATCTGATTAATTGTTCCCGTTGATTATCCGTAGTGTCGGCTCCTCTTGTTATCGTGTAACGGTATGGCAAGTGTGACAGAGAAGTACCCCGGATCAATCAAGAGGTTAATCCAAGTCGAAATGGCGGGAGTTTCTGGTCCACCGGTACAATTCAGTTCACCGTCAGTACCCCGTTTCCCCGGCACCAAGCGGCGTCGCATTAAGATCCCGCCCCCTCTCTGATCTCATTGGCTGTCTCAAGAAAGCGCCTTCACCAAACCCTTGTTATACGAGGTTTGATTGGTTAATACGACCTGTCCATTGTTGGTCGAGAACGGCCCCTCTGGATAAACAACGCCCATACAGCCCATCCATCAGGAGCTAGAGGTCAGCTGATCACAAAAAACGAGATTAGATTGTTTTTTTAAATGATTGTCATGTAATTACGTGAAAATATATGGACGATAAATGTCCTGAAAACTTCACTCCTGTCATCATTATCAGATTTATTTGAGTCCATTGTTTGTGCACCACGATTTGCAGTATTCAGTAAATAAAAGGGCCTTCATTTTGTGGCTGAATGATTGCGTATGTGAGAAAGAGTAGGGGAGAGTGGGGTAAGATGAGCCATTTTTCATAATTCTGATCACTACATCAAGACAATCATAGTTTTGTCTCTAACAAGTGTATCTGCATATATTTCAAGATGTTGCACATCCCTGTAACCCAACAGAATGAGTGTAAACATAACTGTCTTGATAATATAGCATGCCAAAAAAAGTGGTCTCCTATGGTCAACTTACCCTATACTCGGGGTAAGTTGACCATAGGAGCGGGGTACATTACAACACGTTAATGTTCACATTACAACAACGAATGCGGCATCTAATGTGAATGGAATGCTTCCGTGAAGTGACCCGCATGCGCACAATGCACAAATTGCTTTCCGCGCTTGTTTGTGTTGTCGAACAATGGTGACGTTTGTCGCATATTGATGACGTATAGGTTGGATGAACGCGACCTGAGTGTCTACTCTGCAGTCACATCGAATACATATCCGATTAATATCCACATACAAAAGAGGCCTGGGTCGGATTTGAAAAAATCTGAATTGCACTGTTCACACTCGCATGAAAAAATCAGATATGTGTCACATATGGTTAAAAAATCAGAATTGACCTGCAGTGTGAACATAGCCTAAATTCACTTTCAAGAGTGGAAAATGTTTTTTTGGAAATAAATGTCTAACCCCTTCACCCATGTGCTTCTAACCTTACAGACTCCATGAATTGATGCCCATCTCCTCAATATTTGGTCACATGATCCCTCATGATTTCTCTTACCATTTCCAAGCAACAGGGGGTGGCTCAACTTACCCCGGTCTCCCCTACAGTATGTGAGAAAGAGTAAGTACTACCCTTGCAACACTAATGGCATAAATGCAAATTATAAGCATTTATTGTGGTTTACACTGTTTTCATTTCTAAACATGACAAATTCTATCATAAATATTAAAATAGCATTTTCTTGGATGAGATAAGCAAAAAGAATATTTGTTCCAAAGAAGGCATAATATGGAAAAAAAATGAGCACACTTTAAGACCGATCTGCATGAAACTACATGTTTTCTTAAAATTAGCATCCAAAACATTGTCCACTACACAAGAGCCATATGGAAACATGCAAAAGTAAAGTTCCACCGCCAAAGATGACAGAAGCAAAAAAATGGAATTACAAATACACCTGCAACAGCAGTGCCTTGCCACACTCTGTAAAATTCTTACCATTTATTCCAACAATTTAAAGAACTTTTAAAGTGAACAAAAAATTGCTGTAAATACTTTTTTTTTGTAATTTGCTGAAACATAATATTTGTGTTAACATATCAAGAGAATTTTAGAAAGCTAAGCTAGCTCTGCCTAAAGACAGGTATTGTGTGCATTCTAACCAAAACGATTATAAATAAGCTATCTTAGAACAGAATTTTCTCCTGTGCAAATCTTCTTTAAAGGGGGTGCTCCGGATTCATCCAATTCTTCCTGTAAACAAAAATGAAAGACATCCAATAAATAACGACAAATTATTTTTCTCAAAAGGTCAGAAAAAAATAAAGTTAAAATTTATCTTTTTTTATATATCACACTACTAAATTCTTATGTGATAAAGGAAATAAAAATGCGCTTTGTCACATAGTGAACCTGTGTGTCTGGGCTGCTCCGTCTGATAGTTCCTGATGAAAGAAGGTCCTCTTTGATAAGGGTAGGAGGCTCATCAGCACCCTCCTGTCCTGAATGAACTGGCTCTGCACTCACAGGAAAGGTGACAGTGCCTTCATTAGACCAGCCTTGGCAGTAAAGGAATGCACAAACATCACAGGACAACACATAGTATGACAGATGTACTTGGTGTGTATAATTGCTGCCATCAAATACAGAAAATTAATGCCACATAAATTCCTGAGGTCTGACTTTATGTGGGGCAAACTGATGAGAATTGACATGTTCCCGGGACTGATTCAATTTTATACTTCAATACAGTATTAAAAACTTTTGCATTGAGAATTATCTCCATACCATCCACACTTTCTTGGCCCAACATGGGTGGCTGTGAGTCTTCAGTCCGAAGGCTAGAGGTATGTGGGGGGCTGACCTGCTGGGAGCTAGATGTGCTGCTGCTGTTATCCATTTTGGGCTGGTAAACATCCGACAAAAAGCTCTGATTGCTATTTTCATCTGAGGTAGGGAGCACAGGAATCACACAGAGAATCAGGCAATAGCATTAACCCCTGCAACATGTTTGAAGTGTAGTAAGGCATACACAAGATGGCTCTAGATCAGGGGTGTCAAACTCAACCACAGCAAGGGCCAAAATCTGGATTTAAGTCTAAACTGAAGGCCCAACAGGGTCAACATTTAACCCAAACTCTCAGCCATCTTTTCAAAATATATAACAAAATCAACAATGATTATAAACCACTTGGAAATTCAAAAATTTTAAATGTAAATTTAAAGGCAATCTGAGATTAAAAAATAAATAAATCCAATAGATTAGTTCAGAACACGATATTAAAAATAGAAAAATAATGCTTTTAAAGAGCAAACACAGGAAGAGAGGTTGAAATCACAAGTTTGAAAGATCAAAATATGACTTAAAATACAAAATTGGTATCTAAAGGATTAAAATGACATGAATCTAAATACTGAAAAAAATCAGATCACAAAATGAAACATCAAATCAGGTTTGACTTGTAATCTTGAGATGCAAAATTGGAAATATGGATAAAACACAATTTTTCCCCCACATTCTTGACTATTTATCAAATCTTTCTCACTCTTTACTTTCCCAGATTTTCATGGTTTATTAAGGAAATTTTAAATAATGGCGCTTAAGTTTACATTATCATCCAGGAGGAAATCTACAGACCTCATACTGGTCGGCCAATAATAATACAAATATGATATGATCTTGTGGGCCAGATTTAATTGTTCCACGGGCCAGATGTGACCCCTGGGCCTTGAGTTTGACACCTGTGCTCTAGATAGAAAGCTAACCAGTAAAGTCCAGTAGGGAGTTGGTGTTTTCCAGGACCACATCTTTCAGACCTCTTACATCCCCACCTGTGGATTTGGTGCGGTATATCTGGTAACAGAGAGGGGGGAAACTTTGGATTTTCTTCTTCATTATCTAAATCAATATTATAGCAATAGGTTAGTTGAGTTGATCATAGCAGAGCCCCCACCTGCTTTGTTTCTGTGACTGGTACCCATTTAAAGATGCGCAGGGATGTGTCTCCAACAGTGACCCATTTCTTCTCCCTGAGGATCATATGAATTTGGAGAATAAATGGAAGGCGCTCATTCAGGGTGCTGCACTAAACAGACTGCTCTCATAAGCAGGGATCGGTATAATGGCATGCAATGTACATAATCGTCTCCCTCTGAATAGATGACAGCTATCACACATCGAGACATCCTCCTGTATTTTCATCATTTACTTTTCATAAACAAGGAAAAACTGGTTGAATTTAATCGGAAAGTGTGGTTTAGTTTGGCTGTAATTTGATAGCAGAACAGTCGTGCGGATTACAGCACCCAGCATGTGAGGCTGTAGCCATATTGACAGGTCTCGGTGGAGAAAAAAAAACTCAGCTAGCCCCGCCTCGCCTGTCAAACTCGGGTATTGATTGGTCAAGAGCTCCTTCAATCATCCAACTTTCCGACTGAAGTTTGTTGAGCGACGCAGCAGATATCAGGCTACAGTCTCGACTTAAATATTTCCCTCCATATTGTCCCCCCGACAGACTACATACCATTTCCGCACTTTCTCGATGGCGGCCAGGACCTTTTTAATGTCATCTTTAGCCCGACTCCGGGTCTCAGCACGGCCTGATCGTCCCGACATCTTGATGTTGTTATGATTCATCTACAGATGCATCTGAAAACTTCAAGACCAAGCCCCAGTCCTCCGTTACAGTGGTAATCTCGCGAGATTTAGAGCTCTCAGTTGTTTGGGTTTTTTTCTCTTCTAAGCTTCGTCCTCCTCAGTGTGATCACACTGCGCTGACATGATTGGTTGTACACACTCGGCGTCTTTTGTCCATTGTTTCATCCAACATTTTTCAAATATCTCAGAAAGAGTGAAATTTAATTTAATTTTCATTTACAATTGATAAAGAAGACTGAAAAAATTATTGATCCCTCTTTCAGGGGCGGATTCAGGAATTTGGGGGCCCTGGGCAGGCACAGGGTCCTCCATATCCTTTTTATTCTACGCTGTGTCTGAAATGAACCACTCAATCCCTAACACCCATATGAGATTTTACTATGTAGTTGACGAAGTAGTGAACTCAGTCACCGGTGGTTTCGGACACCACATGGCAAGACGCAATGCACGACGGGATGCCCACCACCGGTGAGTGACCATCGGTGCTTTATGGGAAATTTTAAGTGACCTATTTGGGGCATTGGAATTGATCACTGAGGTTTTCGGACACTCCTCAAAATGGTGCTAACCCCCATGTAGTCACATATATAGGAGTTTGAATCCATTTCGGACACAGCCCTAGGGATGCACTGATTGTGAAATTCTGGGCCAATATTGATGTTTAAAATAATAGTTTGGCTGATAGCTGATGCGGATGTTTGTTTGTTTTTCATTTTGGTATTTTTTGTTATTAATTTGCCCTTTTTTCAAGGAAAACAAAAAAAAAATCTCTATGACTTAAAATAACTGAACTGTCTTTTAAGGTCCTTACACACTGGGGCCGACGTGAATATAGAACGCGAAATAACGAAATACTCGGAGGTAAATTTTGACGCGCCTGACGATACACATCAAGCCTGATGTGATTTTGCGACTTTTTCATGTAGATGTTTGACCTGGCTCCAAGGACTACTACTTTCCAAAAAAATATTACAGGAAAATTCTGATAGAGATAAAGACTTTGGACCTCTATTTCTTTTTGCTACTTCACTGATACTTTGCATTCTTCCCTTCCTTACTTCACTAATATCAAAGTACCTGCTGATTTATCTTTAATGAAGGAGCCAAGATTTAAGATATGAATTAACTGTTTTGAACTTCCTGGTGGAGTAGAATTGCCCTGTTGTGTAGTAAGCAAAAGTGCACATAATACAGTATGTACTGTATATTTGAAGAATGGGGGCTTTTACTTTTTAATAATGAGACATAAGAGGTGTAATACTTTAATTTAGTACTTTTATTTTTGATTTACTCTATTGCAGTATGATTACCACAGGAAGATCTACATGGCCCCTTTAATCTGTATATGTTGATTGTGATAACATAACTATTGCACTCCCATAAAAAAAACAAACTATATTGGAAACAGTCCCTTTGATTGCTTTTGCCTACATTTTTTTTCTTTTCCTTGCCAATTTGTGTCTAAATGAATGGTAAAAACTAGAAATGTCCTTCCTTGTTATTCTAAACAAATGTTTTATTAATTTTGACTAAAGTTCCCATGTTTGTCCAGCAGATGGCAATATTGAGCCATGCTGAACAGACAGTCTTCTGTAGTCAAGCAAAGGTCGAGTCTTTTGCATTTTGCAGTACTTCTTATCACAGGAATGACTATTGATGGGAAATTAACCCTTTCTTTTCTCTGTATCCTCCAGGCACCAGAAGAGGAGGGCCATCTCACTGACACAAAACTGATTTGGGTGGACTTTGGTGTCTGCTTTAGTAAGATATATACATCAGAGGTATGAAAGATGCAGCAGTCAGTGACCGAGGACATACTGTTCTGGCTTACCTCACCAACATCTAACAATTTTTAATGCTGTGGTGCTGCACATTGATCATAATACACTCTTAATTACTGCAGGTATTGTGGTTTCATGGGTCAACAGGTAACATGGGACACGGACTTTTATGGCTTTTTAACAACAAAACGTGATCCTGCCATCATCAAGTTATAACAAATTATTCAAACTTTAATGACTGTTTTTTTAAACCCTATTTTGCAGCTCCAGATTTTGGCACAATTTTTCATGGGTATGTGTTAGTTTATATGCATGTCTTTAAATATATTAATTTAGAGTTTTTAAAAAAGCATATATGAGCCGATGATATAGTGGTGTCACTTTACAATAAGAACACAAATAATATACCCAAGCATCACTAACAAGAGTAACTGGTCTATGGTAAAGGCTACATATGACCAGGACTGCAGATTGATTTAGCTTTACTGCACCACACAGGATCCCTGCATATATGACTCACGGTAATTTAACCAATTTTCCAAAATAATATGTGTCGCAAATTTCAGGTGTTCAATCCATGACTGAGTCACTTTCATGTTGAACTGTATCAGTCAGCCAAGTATTAAATCACAGTGACTCTATACAGGCCAATTATCTATAAACTATAAATGCATGGATTAATTTAACAATCTTTTTATTGGTATTTTATTATATTGTGTTTAGTTTTACTCATAAATAAAATTTCAATTTTCAATCAGATAAGTGCCATTAGATGAACTGAAATCTGGATAAACCTAGCTTTGATAGAAAAGTAGGCTATTTTTATAACGTAATTGCAGCTTATAATATCCATCCCTAATGATACAGTGTTCAAATATGATTACAAGTGTAAACAAATTCACTACACATCACCAATCTTGTGGGCGGGGCATGTTGTTGGCCCAGCCAGTGGCTGATAGTGGTGGGAGGAGTCAGGGACAGTTGCCAGAGAAAATACCTAAATAGCGGTGACGGCTATCAGACTGAGCAGCTGTTGAAAGGTTTCTCAAGTAAAAAGCAGAAGTTTGGACATGTTTTATCGATTTCACTGATTTTAAAAACCCTTCAAATAGTTCGTGTTAATGTTTGGTGTTGCATGTAACAGAACTGACTTACAAATACATGTAGGATAATGACTCCCGTAAATTTCCTGCAACATCACGCACACATCACTTCTGGGTTCCTGTGTGAAGAATATTCCATTATTCATCTGTTTGAACGATACAAACTGAAATGAAAAATAAGTTTAATGTCCCATGTTGAAAGTTGATTTAAGGCAACAACAGTTTTTGTAACATATCCCTCTGGAATTTACTCCCCTTACCCATCCGAGACTGTACAGACCCCCATACTTTCAAATCACTCCTAAAAACACATCTTTTTAAATTGGCTTTTAATCTGTGAACTTTTTTTTTTTTGTCTTTTCATATTTTGGCTTTTTTAACCTTTTACATTGTTAGTCTTATTACTTAAAATATTATTATTATTATTATTATTTTGTTCTTATGACAGTATTTTTGCGTGCTGCAAAGAATTCTCAGTAAAGTTTTTTTATCAACTGGATAAAAAATTTCAGCGAATACTCGCTTTCACTTACATTTTTTTGTCTTTTCATATTGTGTCTTTTTTTAACCTTTTACATCTAAAGTCTTATTACTTAAAATTTTCTGTATTTTGAATTGTAGTTATTTTTGTAAAGCATCTTTGAGCACCCGTAGAAGAGTGTTTTAAATACAATTTATCATAATAATAATAATAATAATAATAATAATAATAATAATAATAATTATTATTATTATTATTATTATTATTATTATTATTATTATATCGTCTTTTGCAACTGGATAAACAAAGTATTTTTTTTTTACGAACACTGGCTTCCACTTACTTTTTTTTTCATATTGTGTCTGTTTTAACCTTTTTATTTTTAGTCTTAATACTTAACATTTTTTGTATTTTAAATTGTCTTTATTTTTGTAAAGCGTCTTTGAGCACCTGCAAAAGCGCGTAATAAAAATTATCATTATTATTATCATTATATAATTTTTATGACATTATCTTTGCGTGCTGCAAATGATTCTTAGTAAAGTTTTTTATCAACTGGATAAAAAAATACTGTAATTTCTTTACGAATACTGGCTTTCACTTAAATTATTTCTTTACAGACGCTTTATTTTGAAGAGTCCAAAGCGGAAGCGCAGGTATAATTCGCTGCGCTTCACACTGGTGCCGTTCAGACTGCTGCTGCTGTCATTGACTGGGGTGGTGGACAGAAAAGGCCAAATGATTCAGTGAACGGGGCGACGAGTCCAGCACAGCATGGACTGCTGCCCGCCATAGTTAGAGCAGCCTTTAGTTTTTATTTTTATTTCCTCGAAGTCAAACCTCTTTATCGGTAGAAAGTATTCTTAATTCCTTTCTCTCGCCGCTGAAGAAAACAGACAACAATGGATCGAGTGAAAAGCTCCATGCAGCAAGTCCCCAACGCTATTCCCAAAGTGATCCGACGGACCGGAGGGGCCAACAGCCTGGAGCTGGAGAAGGAAAACTTTGAGAGAGGGCAGGTAAGCGGGAGCACACACTAATGTTGTAAGATTATTTCTCTGAAAGCGTGGGCCGAAGGTCCCACAGCTGAGAGCAGCTTTACAATGTGGGAGGATAGTAACAGTCATGTCAGGATATTTGCTGTCAGCTAAAACAAATGTCTCTCATGAGCCTCTAAAATCGTATGGTTAAGACACAGATGGCAAATATGTGTATTTATATGTGTGTGTGTGTGAATTTCTGTATATATGTGTGTGTGTGTGTATTTTTTTATCAACATACTGAAGCAATTCCCTACAATTTTTGCACTTAGTTTCTTTGACTGTGATTTTGTGTCATTTTGTGATACCAGCTGTACTACAAACGAGCTATTGAAATGTGTTATTTACCTTTGAAATTAGATGATTGTGAACAAAACAGACAGGAGGGATGCAAGTTTAGGCCTGATGGAGCTGTGTCATGTCTCATAGGCTTCCACTGTCTCCTTTTGACCTAGGGTTAGGGCAGGATCAGTAATGGTGATGATGAGGATGGTGAGGATGATGAGATCCGAAGTGAGACCGGTCTATTTTAGGACAGAATGCATCTTTACATTGTTATTCATAGCTTTCTGAATAATGAATGTTGGGTATCTTCATGTGACTTTGCATGAAAAGCTCTTCCTCTGACCATATGCATGCAAGCTGCTGTTGTGCTGTGGAGCCTGCTGCTTCCTGCCTTGGAGGTCTCCCCTCTCCTCTCTTCCCCTAGCCTCTCCTTTCCCAGACCAGGCACAAGGGGAGGGGAGTAAGTGAGTGAGGAGGGGGGGAGAAAGTAGGTCAGATGGATCCAGGCAGCCAAACTGCCGTGGCTCTGCTGTAACGTGCTTCCTCCCATTGACAGTGCACTCATTACAGCCTAAATGTGCACAGCAGGTATTTGGCGATTGTGTGTCTGGAATGGATGGTGGCTGTACAGTTTGCTCACCCCCCCACCATAGCCCCCCACGCCTCCCCCTTCCGGGACAGCAGCAGCATGGATTAGAGACTGGGAGAGACGCATGCGTGGCTCTTTATGTATCCCTAGCCAAGCTTGGTCACTGGGTCACTGTCAGGCTTCTGGGATCATCACACCCTACTGGAAGTGTGTCGAGGCAAAATGCATTCCAACGTAAAACATGAGCGGGGTTTATCTCTGTGTTGTGTTGTTCTCGCACCAATGATAATGTTTGTCATGGACAGGAAAAAACATAGCAGTTAGTTTTCTCCCTTTTCTGTATTAAAAGATCTTAATTATCTGGGATCAGTCACACAAAGCTCAGAGATTTGCTGCAGTGAAAGTATTCTTGCAAGATGAAACAAGCCCGGGTTTGATTGTGTGCAGCACAGCATGACACATTCAGTTTTCCCTCCTCTGGAAGAGTTTTCGCCTCTGTCTGAGTCGCTGTAGTTGTACAGAAATCACTCGTGGGGCTTTGTTGTTGTTGTTTGTTTGTTCTTCTCTCACACCCCATGGTTGACTTTTGACTGTAGATCCGGAGCTGTGGCAGGCAGTGTGAGAATCAATGAATCTGATGTCGACTGTACAGAGGATCAGTGAGAGATAATCTCTGATGATCTGTTGTGCGGTAAAGCTGCCCAAATCTGTTGGGTAGCTGGCTTTCACCTCCTGTCTGCCTGCCCTGCCTGGCTGTCTTTGACTTTTACGTTTTCAGCCATCTTTTTGTAGCCACAGAGCCCATTTGATAAAAATTCAATGTTTATAGTCAACTATGTGCATGATAATAGGATGTTTTTGTGTTTCTGTGGCCCTCTACCTTGTTCAGAAAGCCATCGTCGGTTAAAAAAAAAAAAAAAGACTGACTCTAAGAAGTCCTTGCCTATCTCTCTGTGGAGTTGGGTAAACAACCAGGGTGTGTTCAAAATCCTCTCTGTCATAGTGTCCACACTGGGTTATAAAAAGAACCAAACAGGGCAGCCAGATAGCACACAGCGCTTGCTTTTAATGACATGTTTAGCCCCATAATAGCAGCTGACTCTTTAATTTAGAGTTTAAGGGGATTTGATCTTTGGTGTGTTTTTCCTCAAACTTCATTGCATGTTTTGGGTTCGTGTTCTGTTGTTTTTCAGCAAGACTAAATCAACCATTATACAACAAGTTAGAATCATACTTCATGTATTTCCTTTACTTTCAAGGCTCCAAAAATGACAGAAATGCCAACTCCCTGTCGGAGTGCAAAACAGCCCCAAAGCTGTCAGAGGCATGAAGAGGTTTTTCATTTAAAGCTGGTGTGGGTTATAATCTCTGGACCGATATGAGCCATAATTATTGCCTGTGGGAAATTTCTTTTGGCACCACTTCGTCAGCTGGGGAAAGCAAAACAAGCCCCTGAATGTCTCCATGTATGGATTACATAATTAAAGCCTTAAATTAAATTTTGCTGCCAACTTCCCTCTTCCTTATTTCTCCACAGAGGTCACTCCTCTTTGTATCATTAAAGTCCATGTTTGTTAAACTGTGTGTAGAGCAGTGAAGGCCAAAGCTTCTTGTGTGATTTGACTTTCAATATTATGGTCAGATCAAGTCTAAGTGTAAACAGACTGTATTTTTAATTACCTTTACTTCTTATGTCAATGTTTAATCTTTTGATGTGTTACTTTTACTATGAAAGCTCCCACTAGGCCACAAGTACAGCAAACTGTGCAGCTTTTATAGTACTGATTCAATAGTTCATCCTTTTTGGCTTTCGATTTAGGTAGATCAACTCTTAATCAAAAACTTTGTGTCTGTTATTCTGACCATTGACCCGTTGCTTTTGAGCTGTTTCCAAAGTGAATGAATGACCACCTGACGCTCCCGTGCCTTTTTTGGCCCCAGTGTGTACAAAGCAGTCTTTCTTTATCTATCTGCTTAAAAAATGTCTCTCTCCTCTGACTTTTGACATGCAAATGTATCATTTGTTGTGAATATTTGGAAAATGTAAAGTGTTTTAGTTTTGCTTACTTTTTGAGTGCATCAGCCACTTTCAGCTTGCATTTTTTTATTTTCATATATTTAACACCAGTGATTTCGATAGTTTATTTTCTTGATAGTTTAACTTATTTCTTTTGGTTAAATTTGGTCATCTTACCTGTTAGCATACTCTACTGTTAAATGAGTGTGTTTATCCCCGCTGACTAACTTTTCCAACTTTTAATTCAGTATTTGTAGTGAAGATTGTGATCTATTTTTACTGATTTCATGACTATTGTTTAATTTTATTTCTTACTCTAGTCTAGGCAAACTCTTCCAATAACTTTAAGCTAGCTTTTTTCTAACTTGCTAACTGTTAAAGGGATATCCGGTGTAAAATTAATTTAGGGTCAAACACACCGTAAAACCGAGTTAGACACCCCCTCGAGAGATAAATGTTGCCGACCACTTGCTTCTCTAGTTATATCAACTTTAGTAATGACTGCACCATAGCAATACACACCGGTCCGAGGAGCCATAAACAAACCTCAACCAAAATGTTCTTCCTTGAGCTGTGTCACCCCGCAGCAGTCCGTAATGGACTGGCCTGAGGTCATGCTACAAACAAGTGGCTGCTGGAAGAGAGTGGGTGAGATGTGTTTAGTCTCTTTACTAAAGAAATCAGGCAAAGTTAAAAAGATGTTTGGTGGCTAGGACCATATATGTACTGTTGATGAAGTTAGGCGCTGTTCTGAGCATTGTTTGTGGCTGTAGAGTGGCATTTTGGTTGAGGTTTGTTTTTGGCTCCTCAGACAGCTGCGTATTGCTATCGTGCGGTTGTTACTGAAATTGGAATAACTATAGAAGCAAGCGGTCGGCAACATTCATCTCTCGAAGAGGTGTCTAATTTGGTTTTACGTTGTGTTTGACCCTTAATTAATTTTACGCCGTAATATCCCGTTAACCTACTCTCAGTTACTGCATGTTGTGTGACATTCAGGTGTTACAGCTCAAGTTGTTTTGAACTTAAAGAAATATATATATGTGAGTAAGTTCTCCCTGGTTACATGTATCCCAAATAAGCAATCATTGCATTGGTGCAGTATACAGTACTTGTGTCTGCGCCTCTCTTCAGCCCGCTCAGTCTGCACCCTATTTTAAGGCTGTTTGGTGCTTTGGCAGTTGTGGTATTTAAGGAAGGAGCAATTTTGTGGCCCCTTGTGCACAAGCAGGGCAGACTTCTAAAAATGTATAATCCCCTCATCTCTGCCTCTTGTCATCCCGTGTCTATGTTTTTCTTTGTGACGTGTTGCTTTTACCTCCATCAAACATTGTCTTCATGTTTCCTTTGGCTCTTTTACATCCTGCTACAAAAAATGTAGGGAAGTTATGCGGGGACATCCGTAAGAATGCATGCACACAGACAAGCATGCAGCAATGAAAAGTTAGAGCATTAAAAGCACTGAGGCAGCAGAAACAGCAGGCAATGGTTTGTGGCCTCATTGGACTGACTGGCTGCAGAATAATAGAGCTGGACATGAGTGACAGGCCTGTAAGGGGAACAAAGTGCACCGATGAGTCCCTGGCGACATTGACAATGGCTGTGTCCTGATGTTTTTCGTTAATCTTGTAATGTAGAGGAAAAACTTGAGTTAATGTTATGACTCCACTCACAATTTCTAATCACTGGTATCTGATTATTATTAGACCTAGGTCTGACTGATTTCTTGTGGTCTTAAGGTATCCTCACTCTCAAACAAAAAAATATATGTACAATTTTTAAATTGACCCATGGTATGACTTTTTTAGATCAAAAAACGTTGAGTAAGCAATCGAACAAGACAGAGTTTGTGTGTACATTAAACAAAATACATTATTGTATATTCATTTAAAGAATCCATTTAATTTCTTCTGAGATTTGTTGTTTTCGAAGATCACCAATACAAGCCAGCTTAACTGCCCCTCATAATGATGACTTTAATTTAAAAACTGGTCTAGAAACTAGGGCTGGGTGATATGGCCTCAAATCAAGATCACGATATATTGAGCAGTTCACCTAGATAACGATAAATGGACGATAACTACTCCACAAGCTGCTCACCCCCTCCCACATTAACTTTGTCGCTACAACTTTTGAACTGTCCTCCATCTCCTCACCTGTCTTTCCCTCTTTGCTACGGACTGGATGGGGTGGAGTCATGTCTCCGACAAAGGACAGCGGCTTAAAGGGACATGAGACCATAGCCTATCTACACACATCCAAAACCAACTTTTATTTATTCACTTTTTTTTACCCCGAATATATTGACAAGGGCAAAATGACGTTGGTTATTGTTGTAAATTTTGGTATCGGTAAATTTTTCAGTTTATCGCCCCACTAGAAAATTTGAGTCAATTTGTTATTAGCTATTTATTTTGATTCAGCATTGATAGCTATAATAATCAGCCTGACACACCACATATCATAACCAGGCAGTAACCTCAAGTATTGGAAGACCTTTTTAAGTTGTCATCTTTTAGCTTGATGATTTAACATCAGCTGGGGGAAATGACTGAATTAGATCAAGAAAATCCTGAAGTGAAAGTTAAATCTTTCATTTCTTTTTGTTTATTTTGAAGAATCAACAGGTGAATTTATGATATAATTGAGTAATTATGGGTATAATAAGGGATGGTAGCAAAATAAGTGGACAACAAAACCCTTGCTTGTGTACTGAGCCAAAAACAAAAAAACAACAGTGATTCTAATATTGAAATGAAGAGGTTTGGGGCAGCTGAATGAGAAGCCAGGCGGGGACTGAGTGGGACTGCTGTATGTGAGAAATGCTGTGTGAGCCGCCCTCTCATCGTTGGGCCCACGCTGTACCAGGAAGTTAAAAGACTGGGTCAGGGAAAGAGCCTGCATTGTCTCGAGACAGACTGTTTATGTTGTACAGCCTGAAGGTATAATGTGCCGTCCTGATGTTGTAATGAAAAGCATATTGATTATCAGGCTGGGCCTGGGCTCAGTGGGTCAGCTGATGTCCTGTGATTGTTTACAGTGTCTCTGATTGAACAATACATCTTTTTGGTATGTAGTGCTTTAAAAAAAAATCCCCCTCAGAAAAAAAACAAAAATGGATATGTTATTAATCAGCTATGTGATTCAAAAGAACACTCCTAGCCCCTAGCCATCATATTTTGTACACCCATAATTAAAGTCAGCACGTCAGCCTTACTAAAGTGAGCTTTTACTCCAAATCTAGGAACCTTTTATTTCAGTTGCGCTCCAGTGATAGTTGTAGTACTGCAAAATAAAATATGAAAGGCTGTCAACATTGTTCCCCATTTATAGTTGTTGAATGAGGCTGACAAAGCATTCAGTTACAGTCCATGTAGACATACGTTCTTGACATATTTTCACTCTGTCTATCAAATCCACATATAATAATGTTGTAAAAGAGGATTTTTGCTAAACTGAAATACTGGAAAACCCCAAGATTTTAAGAAGTGTACCAAGTCAAGTAACCACTTAATTTTCCCAGACTGTAAAGAATCACTCACTCAATACTTACTGACTTACTCTGTAATTGAAACCTTTGATTTCTTTATTGTACTAATATCTGTTTTAATTCTCCCATCAAACCCAAACACAGCTGTATGTCCTCTTATATCAGTGGTTCTCAAGTCCAGTCCTGGAGGCCCACTGTCCTGCATGTTTTGGATGTTTCCCTGCTCCAACACACCTGATTTAAATGATCAGCTCGTTATTAAGCCATTACAGAGCTTGATAACGAGCTGATCATTTGAATCAGGTGTGTTGGAGCAGGGAAACATCCAAAACATGCAGGACAGTGGGCCTCGAGGACTGGACTTGAGAACCACTGTCTTTAAATGGTGGGGATGTGAGGGTTGACGGTCTCGCAGAAACCAGATGGGGGCATCAGTCACCTAAAAGTGAATCATGGTGGAGCCTGAGCTGCTCTTTTCCAAGATTCACATGTTTCCAGAAGAATCAGTGCAGACACACCTGAGAGAGGACTTCAAGGTTATTAATGAGGCATCATACTTAAGGAAACAAACTGTGCGCTTGTTAAAAGTTTCATAGCAATACAAACACTTTATCATCACATCTGAGACTCATGAATCTGGTAAAATACAGATGTGAATGTGTAGTTTTGGTGTTTGGAGCATTAAGCAGTATTCACATGAAGTAAACGCCTTGTCTACTACAAATAAGAAGAGAGACTAGAAAATTCAACAGTTCTTTATTTGATATTTAGGCTACCCCCACCCCCCGTCCATTGCCTTGCCCTCTTTCAGCACCCCTGGCGGTCCCCGGACCCCAGCTTGAGAACCACCGGGGTTTGAGCCATCCCACTCTGCAGGCTCCATGCTACTATTGTCTAACAGGAGAGCGGGCTATTTGCAAAATAAAGGCAGCCAACTGGCTTGGTGGTAGACGTTTATGGAGGGCTGGTACGTGCAGGCTGAACAGGGTGATATTGTGAATGTAAAATGAGCGGGTAACATCAGCACAGGCTCAGTCAGGTTCCTCCCGGAAAGCGGCGGCTTGTCGGCGGTCGGATGCTGGAAGTCCTCGCCGATAAGAGAGCACACAGGGCGCGCAGAGGAGACGCGAAAGGAAGGAAAGGAGGGTAGGATAGGGGAGCATTTTAATACCAAATCGGGACACATGTTGAGCTAATGGCCCGCTCCACCCCCACCCCTTTCTTCTTCTTCTTCTTCTTCTTCTTCTTCTTCTTCCTCCACTTCTTCTCCTCCCAAATGCGTTTGTTGCCTCAATCGCTTTCCCGTTACTAAGTCCTCCACGGTAGGATAAAGCCAGCGGACCTCCTCTCCGGCTCCTTGGATCTTTACGCGCTGTTCGCTGGGACCGAAATGGATCTCAGTAAAATTGTAAGTCCTTCAGAAGCAATGTCTTTTAAATATTTTTCTGCTTTAACAATTTTACATGTTTTAAGAGGTGAGGTGGCGTTTAAGAAGTCTTGTTGCAACCAACCACACGTACACAAGTGCTGCTTGCGCGGATTCGTGTAAGCTCTGCTCAATGCAAGCATGAGCTTGTTTACTTGAGGTGTTGCACTTAAGTGTGGCGTGGGAACTCTTGTGTTTTGTTGTGCTGTAAGTAGAAAGCATGAAAGTCTCAGTAAGAAGCCGGTTTACAAACTGGGACAGAGGGTCCTTGAAGTCGGTCTTCAGGGTCTCTTAACTCCACTCCTTAATAACCAGAATGCCAGGTCAGTGTTTTGCTCAGACTTGCTCTATGAAAAAAGTCCCATGAGACAAAAACATCCTCTGTGGGGACAGAGCAGAGACATATGAGGTTTTAGCAGCTCTATGCTTGTCTACTTTGTGGTCAGACATTGTGAAAATGTCTGAGAAGTGCTCCTCTGTAGCGTTTAGCTTCTCACCCTGCTCAGTCTCCAGCTATATGAGGGAGGAAAAAGTTGAGCCAAGCACAGCTCCAATGTGCCATGAATATCAATTACAGATGGTATTGATGTCAGACAAACCTTAAGATGGAGCTAACAGTGTGCCATTGTGTTTCTCTAAAAAGTTATTGTGACTCTTACTTTTCTGTACTAACAATAATAAACGGTTAGAACCCGGCACTTTTGAAATCTTAAGGGTCGTCTTCGGGTTTCTTTCCCTGTCGATGTGTGTGCTGTGAATGATGCTGTGTCCTGAGTGTACTGAAGCAGGTGCACTTAGGCCAAAGCAACAAGACCAGCCTTTCACTGCCAACATGGTTGGATGGCTGTACTTTTAGCCCTTGTAAAGATGTGGGGGAGGGTGGGTGATAAAGGAAACCTAGTCCTCTTTTAAATGATCCTCAGACTTCTCAGATTTACTCTTGAACAAGCTGCATTGAGAAACACTGATTGAGACATGTTGGTCAAACATTGATGGTAGCAAATGTATGAAGAGGCAGGGAATCCAAACAGGAAAACCTCTCCAAAATCTCTGAAATAAATCTCAGCTGCCCACATGAAGTCAGCCGGGGCAAGCAGTACAGACACGGCGTAGGTGTTGTAATGGAAAATTTCCTCCAGTGGATCTCCATTCAGTCACATTTTACAGTTTATTGGAGACAAACCTCTTCATGTTGTTATGAAACGTCAGTATTTTGGATCCACTAGAACCCCTCAAGGCTGTTCTCTCTCTCTGTCCTCTCTCGTTATTGCTCTCTTTTGGCTGTTTGGCATGTGGTGAAGCCTAGTGGTATGAAAACCGAGTCCAGAGAGATGAAGGACTACATTCCCACATTTAACAGGAGTTGGCAAAAAACAGTGAGGGGCAGCGTTGGAAGGTTAGGAACTCGATTTCTTGAAATGAGTTGTGTTTTCTTCAAGTTACAATTCAGGGCCTTCAGAAGGTGAATTGTACTTGTTGTGCAGGTGACTACTACACTACTCCACTTTCTCAAATGTCAACAGCAGTCTGAAATGTCCTTGAATGATAAAATTCTTTACTCTATTGTAGTTTCAGCTTGTGAAATCAGTGTTTATCAGTCTAATAGCTAGGTGTCGTAACCTAATATTTATCTCCAAGACTATTGGTTGGGGGAAAATAGAGGCTATTTACAGGTGCTACCTAGAAGGGCTGCTTGATTGTGGCAAAAATCACAATTATTTTGATTGATATTGATATCAGGATTATTGACAGCAATTATCAAAATGGAATACCCATGATTTGATGTTAGCATCACACTCATTTCAGCCACTTAAATTTTATTGTAGTATTTTGTTTTCATACCCTAACCCTGTAGAGCTGTCTGAGGGGAGGAGTAATGTCAATGATCATATTTTTATGACTGAAGCTCAACAACCAAAGTCTTTTAAAGCAACCTGCTGAATATTTTCTGACTGGTTTAAATGGAGAAAATAAATGCTTGTTGCTACCCTACATAAAGCAAAGACATAAATATGCATAATCATATCTAAATTTAATTGAAAAAATAAAAAAATTAATGGTTATATAAAGAGCAAAGGTCATGTTTTAAAAGCCAGAAACACTGCGTTCATTTCATAGCACATTGATGGCTTATTTCATAATAAAACCTTTTTTTTTATCACATAACTTCCATAAAGTTTCTAATGATGTCCATCAAAACATTTCTTGAACAAACACAAACTTGGCCGTCAGTTGCCAGTCAAACTTTTGTGCTTAAAAAGTCTGCTGCAGGAACTTTTCACTGCTGCGTAGTCTTTTAACTAGTGTCACATTACTTTATAAGTAATCATTTTTCTTTTACCCACCTACATACATTCGTACAGTACATACAGAAACTCTGAGATCTTCATGTGTGTTCAGTGTTGGGGTGTAGTAAGTAAGTGGGCTGAGGCTTTTGGCAGAAGCTGCACAGATGTTCCTTTTATAACAAGTGGTCGTGACATCACCAGTGCTGCAGGAAGTGGCGCTTTGGGAGAGAGGCTCCTTCACACGCGGCTGCAGAAAGCTGTGTTGTTAACCCAGGCTCATAAACCTGCCATGCGGGTGTAGGCCTGAGAATTTAATTATGCCTGAGCTCGGCCTTCAGAGTGCGCGTGTGTGTATGTGTGTGTGTGTCTTTAACCAGCTGCTGCCTTCAGGAACATTGGCGTGGTTCTCCCAGGTCACACTTTCCCAACGTCCTTAAGCTAGATGTTTTGATGTGTTATAATAGGCTCTTAAGAGACCACAGCATCCCACTGAGCTTATCTGCACCAACAAACGCCCTGTTGTTAATGGGATAGAAGATGCTTTATTTAAGAAGCTGTTTTAGGAAAAATAAGCTCAGGGTCAAAGACGAGATGTTCTGACACTATTTTCCCTTCTTGATACTTATTCCAGTATCCAGACTTGAACATTGACATATGAAACAATATCATTGGCATTGGTGAAAAAACACTAATTGCATACTTTGGCTAACATTAAACTCCCTGCAAGCACTTCAGTATTGTAGAATAGTATAAATATAAATGACATGTTGGATTTTGGGGGGCTCATTAAAGATGGAGTTTGAGATTCGGTCCTCTCTGCATGTTTTCAAACCTGAAAATCAATAACAATTGCGCTTAGAGATTCTGCTATTGAGTCCTGTGGGTCCTATCATGCACATCTTGATATCTTGAAAACGAATCACTGGAGCAAAACATAAACTTATCATCAAATAAAATTGTCTGTAAGATTGAATTGGAAACTACTGAAAGAATTTGGTGGTCAGTTTAGGATGGCTTTATATCTAAGTAGGTGTAAAGTTGCCTGATTTATGATTGTGAAATGATGCAGGTGCAAACTAAGCCTTCTACAAGATACAAGACCCCCGTCAGAAAGGTTTTCTTACATTGTGTTATAAGGTTGCAAAAGGACAGGAGGTATAATGTGTAAACTGAAGTGCATGTTTTACATACAAACACACACACACACACACACACACACGGAGCACTGTGCCATCCTTCAGGCTCTGGTGTTTACAGTGGCACCATTTCGCTGGCTTGGTGACAGAAACACCATACCTCATCGTTCAGCCTCTGTGAAAGGAGCTATAGATAGTTAGTTAGTTTTCCTACACGCAATGTCTATAAACTCTGCTAATAATGATGCAGATTGCCTCATTTTCCTCCACTGATAACTGAAAAGCATGACTTCTAGTTCATACTCTCACAGCTGTGCTTCCCCTGCATTCATGGCAGTGCACCGGAAAAAAAAACCCTTCTAAAAAAAAACCCCATCTTTTCCACCACCTTTCCCTCCTCTGTGCCAGCCAGGCTCCTTTTCAAGAGGTGTGGAGTGACTTTTGTATGAGAGCGGATGTTCGTGTCAGATGCAACGCACTAAAAATGGGCTTTAAACAAGCAACACAGAGGGCTCTGTTCACAGAAGTGACCTTTGGATTCGGGTGGGGTTACTTTTGGAAAAATGTTTGGGCCCAGAAATCTGTTCCATCTATTATCTGATATTTTGAGGCAATTATTAAGAAAAAGTGTTTGTTTGTTTTAGTTAGGGGATATGCGTGTGTTTGTTTATGTGGTGTGGCTAGCTTTTGGTTTCAGGTGTTTATTTTGAGACGAGCATGTTCAGCTACACGGGGGTTGTATCATACTTGCAATTCACTTTAAGTCGGTCAAACCTCCTCTTGCTATTACTGTTCATTTTAACAAGAAACAACTGTATGAAAGGCTAATGTAGACGTGTAAGATCTATTTCTGTCCATTTCACTTAAAGGTACAATGAACCCACTGTGCCTTTCTTGCTGAGCACCATACAGCACAACTTCTAACCAGCTGATTCACTAAGTTGAGCATTCTGCATTGTGATATAATGTAGACCATCTCCTCAGAAGTTGGTGGAGACCAAAAACAAAGCAAAAAAGAGTGAATATTAGACATATGTTCAAGGCTGCATGTGTTATAGACTGCTGCTTGCTATACTAGGTTGACTTCAGATGTAGTAACCAATAGTATGTGAGTTAAAGGAATGGTCCAAAGTTGGGAAATGGTCAATGTTCAAAATCGGCCTTTTATTTCATAATGAACACTTATTTTCAACTTCTCAGAGCATTAATATAGACCTGACTGTATTCAGGTTAGCTTTGTGAAAAATCCACAGATTGTTTCAACATGGGTCTTATTTGTGCAGCTGTGGACAGGAAACATCAACAGATATAAAACGAAACTAGTGTCAAAGAGCCTAAAGGTTAGTCGCACTAAGTGATGTGTGCTTATTATAAATGTAAATCAGATGGTTCATCCATATAACGTCATCCCTCTGGTTTGATACTTTAAGCAGCATCACCTCTCAGATCTCAGTTTCTGGCTTTCACATTCTTTAGTAACTATGAAACTAAGAATGAGGTTGTTTGAAGGTATTTTTTCCTTGAAAGTCACCTGGAAGAGTCTGACAGGAAATGTGAGAGGGTAAGAGGAATGAAATGTTCGACCTGACTGAACGTCTCGGTCTCAGGCACAGTCTGGGAAGACTGATCGAAGCTTTTAGTCAGAGGGGGGTTTCAACTGGGCATTTTTCAGCAGGCAGGCAGGAAATGGGCAGTACAGGGTGTGCCAAGACAGGAAGCCTGACTGAGCGCCTACATACCCACCTCCTCCTTTACCACCCACCTCTCCACCCCCTGCACTGCCATGACTGTGTATCGCTACAGTGCTGCTGCACTCAAAGACACCTATATGTGTACTCTTTAGAGTCATCCCTCTGATCCCCTGTTGTGTACCTGTCTTCCTGTGCAATACATGAGCCTGTCACCTTTATGAGGGTCCATCTCAATGTTTACCATCTTTATTACAATCTGACACAAAACAAAACATCAGATATTGAGAATGGAAGGATTTTCATACTCAAATGTAATGTGAATGCTGACACAGACAAGCAGACAGTTTTTAGCGTAGCATAATACAAGGTGATCCCAGAGCTTAGGGTGGAAGCTGGATTCACATACTGTGGGTTTAAATTTAGAGTTATGGGTGCTATAGATAGATTCAGAGGTTATTCATCATTTTATTTTGATGGCTGTGTTACCATTTCTTGCACATACTCTTTAGCTGGTACTGCTCACTTGTGCTCTATATTCATAAATTGGCGGCTTATTTTCTCGAAAAGTGATCTAGTGCTTCAGAGCTTAGTTGAAAAATAAAAATCTAAGTTTCTGAATTTCTGGAATCGCCTAGGGAGGATCAAGGAGAAGAAATATTTGTAGAAACAAAAGGTAACTCGAATCTAGGGCTGGGCGATAAACCGAAAATTTACCGATACAGAAATTTATGACAATAACCAACATCATTATGCCCATAACCGTATATTTGGTGTCAAAAATGAATCAATAAAAGTTGGTTTTGGGTGTGTGTAGTTAGGCTATGGTCTCATGTCCTACGTCAGAGACATGACTCCACCCCATCCAGTCTGTAACAAAGAGAGAAAGACAGGTGAGGAGATGGAGGATGGTTCAAAAGTTGTAGCGGCTGGAGCGACGGCTGAAGTAGACGAAGTTAATGTGGGAGAGGGTATGCAGTTTGTGAAGTAGTTATCGTCCATTTATTGTTATCGAGGGGAACTGCTCAATATATCGTGATATTGATTTGAGGCCATATCGCCCAGCCCTACTCCAAACCTGTGGCTCCATTTCCTCTAATTAGTGGTAGCACAGTTTCTGGAAGCAAAGGCTTGACTCAAACCTTTGAATTAGGAATGAGTGTCTTTGTGACAGGAGCCAGTCAGAATCAAGGAACTGCTATGTATGTGATTCTGAAAATATTGCCAGCTATGATGAGTGCTTACAGCTCCTTCTCCTCCTCATCTTAAATGACTGGGGTCACATAATCACTGTGCTGTTTCTGAGATTAATAACTGCGCTAAATCATCAGGGTCATACAAGGATTCCTCCTCCGCCTCTACGGCCATGAGAATTCGAATCCAGGGAGAACAAGTGTTTCCGAATTTACTCTGCCTTCCTTTCGTTTGGTTTGGGTGAGGTTTTCCACAGTCATTTTCCCATGATTGAGCAGTACTGGCTCTGGGTTTGTCTCATGGTTAATGCTGACATAAATCTGGTCACAGCAGAGACAGAAATAACCAAGAGAGCCGTCTCTTCTCGGAGGCCACTTTGGAATTTAGGAGTGACCATGATGTGATGACATTTCTCAGGGATTAACATGGAAGTAGAAATCCAAAGACAGGCATGCATTCATCATTGTTCAGAGGTGATTTAAACGATGTACTAGACCAGGAAGTCTATGCAAATAACAGGGCTGTGCGATTGTTGCAAAACTCACAATCACAGTTGTTATGGTAATTGTGATATGATCATTGAATACAATCACCCATTATTTGACACCTGCATCCCACACATTTGAGCAACTTAAAACCGCTTTAAAACTTCAAAAATCAGTTCTTTGGAAAAACACAAAAAGTGGTAAAAATAATTTGTTTTGCCTACCTTTTTTTGTGATTATTAAAGCATTTCTGTCTAACTTGATGATATAAAAGTCATTTCTACTTCTTTAAGGGCGATGCAACACTTCTTCACTCCACTTCAAGAGCTCTTTCTTAATTTGGCAATACTACTCACTAAATTAAATGGCAGATTTCACTGTAGTCAAGTTTTTTTACACTTTGTCATAAAAGGTTAAAGGATATGAGTTCTTTTAGCTCTTACGTTTTATAACAGACGGCACATCTAACAAATCATTCAGTCTTATCATAGCTTTTGTCCTTTGTAATGCCAAGCCTCCACACCTTCCTCCTCCTGTTCCCTCTTCCTGCTTTCCTCTCTACACCCGTGTCTTTATGATGGATCATTCTTGCAGGTTGAAAAACTAGATTGCCTTTAGTTTTTCGTGTCTTTGACTTCTCCTGGCTGTCTGTTCCAGTTTCTTGTAAGAAACAGAGACATGTAAGAAACATCTGTTTGTTGACAAGATGGCTGACATCTTTGTTATTGATTGTTTTGACTCTTAAGATTTTGAATTTATTTGACCTGCAGGCTCCTGATAAGAAAAATCAATGTTTAATAATCATCTCAGAAAAGCCCTCTTATCCCTACCTCTAGTGTAAGCACACAGAAGGGGCAACACACTCTCAGGCCAGTCCACTCCCGTTTCTGTTGTAAACCTTACACTCACTAGCTCCACTTTTTGTCATTTGCTTGTGTCATACAGCAGCTCTAACATTTGTGGTCGCAGCACAGCAGAGCAGAGCTTGCTTTGTTTCTGTTCTGAAGGAGTAAAGAGGAAATGACTCCAGTGTAACACGGTCATTTTAATGAGGGTTAGATCTGTTGTACTTGTCAATACCTGAACTTTCATTTTAAGCTGTATCTGTAGCAGCTTTTATACTTTTATATGGAAACAAATCACCCAGTGAGTGAAGGCAGTTTCATTAAGCAGGCAGAAGATGCCGCCTCTCACTGGGCTCTGTGCACTGACCCTTCAGGGGACACAGCCAGGCTATGATCAGCATATCAATGCTCTGCTTTCTACAGAAGACCCGATGAAGGGTTGCCAGGCCTGACTTAACATACTTTCAACACTGTTTCAGTAATACTTTGTTCATAAGCAAAGCTGTGGAGAAAAAACAGAAGTTTTTTTTTAATAGATACCAAGATGCGAAAAGAAGGCTAGCTGTTGGAAAATTACACTTTGCATTTAAGTCTGAGGTAAAGAAAGTCTGATGAATTACAAGAGCTCCCCTGTGGACACCATGACAGGTTTTTGCTGAAATTAACTCAAGAGGACTCCTGCAGGTGCTTGTTTCCCCCTTAATCTTAAAACCCACTTGCCTCTTACCTGTAGTTTAAGCTTTCTTTATTGCACACTGTCAGCTGGTCTGCATGGTCGCACTGTGAGGAGCTGATAGGCCACTGAAGTGACGATGCCAGCGGCCAATGCCAGGAGTCCTAGGCAGCTGGCACTCTCATTCAACCCCAACACAAAGTACAAAGTCCCACTGTGGGCTAATTGGGTCATCCTCATGTGGGAACCAGTGGCACTGGGAGATTTTCAATCATCTTTTGATTTTTTGTTTGACTGACAGGGAGAAAAACAGGAAGCAGTTAGAGTTGGCATCATCGACAAGTAAAGTTTTAACTTCCTTCAATTTTTTGTTGACTAAAAGTAAATTTTGACATTGCATGATATTTTTTGCTGAACTAGCACTTAATTTGATTTTAGTAATATCAACTCTCAGTTTAGAAAAGGGAAGGAGTCTAAATATTTATTATAAAATAAATTCCTATGGCACATTTTAGCAACAAGGCAATTCAAAGTGCGTCACGCAAGATGAGGAGCAGAAGAAACATTAAGATAGGACATCTAAAAGTTATCCAAACAAGCCAGTAAATATCAAAGAGCTTTTATAAGTAAAGGAGCAGTTGAAACAACAGATCTATATGATAATGATAGGGATAATGTTTTTTTTGTTTTTGTTTTTTTGAAATGCAATTAAATCCAGGAACTGTGAACAGGTGGGTCTTCAACCTTGCTTTTAAAGAACTGAGAGTTTCAGCAGACACGAGATACAAGGAGCATAAAAACAGAAGCTGCTCTTCTATGTTTGGATCTGATTCTGGGAACAGAAAGCAGACCTTTACCAGTCGATCCACGAGGTCTTTATGGGTGGTACTGCATAAGAAGATCGTTGATGGATATCAGCTTAACTATACACTGTTTCATAAACCAGCAGGAGTGTTTTACAGTATGCTCTCTGACAGAGTGGTAGCCTGAGTGTAAAGACCTGAAGTGATGTGATCCAGGTGTGAAGTTAGCCAATAATGAATATCCTGCTAAACACATCTGAAACATACTGATGATACTGAATTTTCACAGAAAAATGAACCAGCTCCTGAACCTGCTGTTCTGTAAAGGTTAAAGGAATTTTTGACCACAAAGAAGACACCTTAAAACACCTGGCAAGAAAAAAGATTTGCATCCATCGACATTGAGCCTACACAAATACCTGATGATAGGGCTGGGTGATATGGTCTCAAATCAATATCCCGATATATTGAGCAGGTCACCTCAATAACGATAAATGGATGACAACTACTTCACAAGCTGCTCACCCCCTCCCATATTAACTTCGTCTACTTCAGCCGCCGCTCCAGCCGCTACAACTTTTGAACCGTCCTCCATCTCCTCACCTGTCTTTCCCTCTTTGTAACAGACTGGATGGGGTGGAGTCATGTCTCCAACATAGGACAGCGTCTTAAAGGGACATGAGACCATAGTCGACCTACGCACATCCAAAACCAACTTTTATTTATTTATTTTTTGACACAGAATATATTGACATGGGCAAAAATATCGTCATAAATTTTGGTATCGGTACATTTTTGGTTTATCGTCCAGCCCTAGCTGATGATATAGAGGTCAGTTTTTATTTCAGGAAACACTGTTGTAAAAATCATCGATCTTTGTTTGATGATGACCATCAGAAGCAGACTGAAGTAAGAGTGCAATCTTATTTTACTCCTTGAACAGAACATGTTAAGCCCCTGTGTGTTTGACCTTTAGAGTACAAACACACTCACACACAGCCGGAGTCCTGGCTAAGGTTGTAGCTGCTGATGCAACAGGACAGGTGTTTCCTCGGTGGAAATGTGTTTTACCAACACTCTGCATGTTTCATGACAAGAGAGGAACTGTGGCTGGTCATCATCCTCAGGACACGCATGACTACCTGCCGAGTGTGAACAGGTAGATAGCGCTGGTAAATAAGTTCCTCCTCCTGTTTTTTTGTGCTTCATTCAGGAAACAGTGCGCTCGAGTTGCAGGTGATTATACTGTGGTTGTTTTTCCTCCTCATTTCTAGAGGAGTCTTTTGTTCAGGCTGCTGCGACAAGAAAGAAGCAGATTTTTGCAGCAGGTTGTTTTTGTCCGTGATCCTAACTTAGATTTTTCTTTCATCACTTTATCTGAAGGGGTTTTTGCTACACTAACAGAGTTTTGAGACATTCAGTCTTAAAAACAGTCAGCGACACCTTGTAGTTTGTTTTTCTCCATTTGCAGATGTTCTTCAGGGTTTGATCACTGTAGCAGGCAGGGTTGGATGGGTTTGTTTTATCCTGACAACCTATTCTCCAAGTTGTTTCCCCTCCGTTCTTCGTCATCCTGCTGTTTCCTCTCCCCACATATACTCCTTATCCAGTGATTCCACTCTGTGAACTTTTAGTCCAGGCGGCTCATGTACTGGAAGAGGAGGAGCAAACCAGGGACATGTGTGAGAAGTAAGATTATGAAACAGACCTCTCGTCCTCTGCTGAACTTGGCCGTCACTCTCATGCTTCATGATATCATGCTAGTAATAGTGACAAAAAGCATGGTTGGCTGTTATCTTTAACTTTGGCGTTCTACTTTTTGAATTGAGTGTTTTGGATGTGTGATTTTTATTGGGTTTGATTTAACCCTCATATGAGAAGTGATTTGTCAGCCGGATGCTGCCGCAGAACGCCAGGAAAACCATCTGATTCAGATCAAGAGTGTAGACGTGCAGTTTATAGCAAAAACATTTTGTGGCCTTGTTTCCATATTTATTTTATCTTACAGATTTTGGGTTTGCATGCTGGAAAAACACAAATGATATGTTTAAAAATACTGTTCTAGACCAAAAAAAAAAAATTTTCATTGACCTCTCGTGTTTGTTTAAATGAACTTTTGTACTAATGTCCATGGTTCAAAGATAATAAATCATGCTGATTATAGTGATTCCCGGACTTCTACCCCATCAGCTCCAAAAGACTAACACTTATAATAAATACATGTCTAGATAACCTAGGGATGACTCTTCATTGAGCCAGAGATTCATGATCTTAAAGAGATATTCTGGTGTAAGATTAATTTAGGGTCAAACACATCGTAACACTGAGTTAGACACCCCCTCGAGAGATGAATGTTGCTGACCGCTTGCTTCTCTAGTTATACCTACTTAAGTAATGACCGCACCATAGCAATACACAGTGGTCTATGGATCCACGCACAAACCTCAACCAAAACGCCCCTCAATAGCCACAAATAATGCTCAGAACAGCACCTAACTTAATCAACAGTACATATAGGGTCCCAGCCACAGCACTAGCCACCAAACATCTTTTTAACTTCGACTAATTTCTTTAGCAGAGAGACAAAGCACAACTCACCTACTCTCTTCCAGCAGCTGTTGTATGTAGGGAGACCTCAGACGAGTCCATCACCAAATGAAGCGGGGTGACACAGCTCAAGGAAGAACATTGATGATCATTTCTTTATCATTTCCTTGAAGTAATAATCATCATATTAATCATTTTGCACCGCAGACGCGGTAGTTCTTCTGCCTTAGGGTCTTGGTCTGATTACATTTCCATGAAGCAAGCGGTCGCAACATTAATCTCTCGACGGGGTGTCTAACTCTGTGTTACGGTGTGTTTGACCCTAACTTAATTTTACACCGGAATATCCCTTTAAGGGGATGTGTTCCTATGATTCACTTAAAAGGAACACCTTCATTTTCAGATTTTAAAGTTACGGGTCCTGTGGAGAGCTGTTGCAAAAAGGTCTCAAGTAATGTCACTCAGTGAGATCTTCACCAGGAACAGTTATCCTTCTTCTATCAAATGAAAGAGCTAAACTCAGATGCTCTTATTGAACTTTGAAGCAGCTAACACAACCGTTAGCACTTCTGGTGATTGTGGTTTAAAGCTTGTTTGTATCAAGGTTAGCAAATTTATCAACTTTGCAGAAGTCTCGGTTAGAGTCGGAAGTGTGGATAGGTTGCATGTTGAATGTTAAAGTTGTGACACCTCTGCAGTGTTTCTGTAATGCAGGTTACACAACACTTCAATTTGAGCTGATGTTGGATGACGTTCAGTTCAGCACAACGCGGCCAACATTCCACCGTACACCCTTTCACAGCACAGACGCATACTCTCCTGATCATTTACACATGAGCAGTAGTCAGCGCACTCTCATTCAGTCTGCCAGTTACCAGTCTGAATGCTATGTGTTTACCTATGATTGTTTCCCGTTAACTAAATGCAGGCCTCTGTTTTGAAAATGCCGTGACAGCAGAGGGGTGTGTATAAGAGATTCAATAGTTTATGTGTCAGCTGATAAAGACAGGTGTTTGCGTCTGCAGAGCACCTGAAAAGCAGAGAGGATCTCAAGCCTCTCAGTCCCTGCCCTGAATATCAACTCTGCAGAAAGTGGGTCAGAATCACTTCTGCTTTCCATCCCCCAGGTGGTTAGCAGAGGAGAAAGCAACTTTTGGAAAAGGTGGAAGTGTGCCAGCTTTAAAGATGAAACACTTGACACTTGAAGGATTTTTATATTTTCTTGCTGCAAGTTGTGCAAAGAAGTCTGTGGGCTGATTTGTGTTCTCTCTCTCTCTCTCTCTCTCTCCTCTTCTTCTCCTCTGCCCTCCTTCTTCTCCTCTTCTCAGGCTGTCAGCATCAATAAGGCCATCAACACACAGGAGGTCGCTGTCAAAGAGAAGCATGCCAGGAATATCCTCATATTGTCCAAGTTTGTGTGTGTGCGCATGCAGAAAGGAAGTGTGTTGTCCTCCTTTTTGGAGTGTGTGTTTGTGCGGAGCCGTTCCCCTGTGGCTGGGGGGTTACTTTAGTGCAAGAGGAAAACAACAAACTTAGTGTAACCTCATCATCTACATTTGGCCGTGCTGCAGGCCTAATTTAATCATGTGTGAGAAACAACAGAAAGCAGACAGTGAAGAGTGCTGTTTAGAGTCTGTAAAGTTTAGCCACAATGATAAATATCTAGGACTTATTTTATTGAAAGTGCCTTCGGGGATAAATAAAATTCTTCTTATTCTGATTATTGTTTCAACATTTTTAGAAAGTTGAAAATTTATCAAACTGTTCAGAAGTGATTTGCATTCATTTTGAATGTTAAACGGGTGCAGTTTGGCCTCTGATTATACCACCTGCTGTGCAAATAGTGTGAATGTAGGGATGCATGCAATTTATAGTTAAGTGTAAAAAATCACAGCAAAGACTAAGTTCAAACTGTGACATGGGGATATTGCTCAATATTGTTATGGGGAGAAGTGCAACAGACATTAAAGTAATGCAAAAAAGTCACAACTTAAATTTGTATGCTTGTCTGGTGTTCTTTATGTTATTATTATACCTCAGCATGTCACTTTTGAATCTGAATTGAATCCAAACAGTACTTTTTTACTACTAAATTGGCACCAATTGTTCTGATGTTGGCTGAGAGCTTGCGTGCAAACATGCAGGGTGAGAAAGTTTGGTAACACTTTACTTGACGCCTATCTCTATGACACATTATAAGTATATGTATAATGTGTTATAAACAAGTTATAAACACTCATCAATGATCATAATGCTTTATAGCAATAATCATAACACATAAAGCATTTTATCATGACTTACAAGGTCAGGTATTATCATGTGTTATAACTGTTAACAACTCACTGACAATGCCCACATAGATAATGCATTATACATATATTTTTGATGTGTTACAATTTGCTTACATACTTGTATAACTATAGTTATAAACACTCATAAATGATCATAATGCTTTATAGCAATAATCATAACACATTATAAAGCATTTTATCATGACTTACAAGGTGAATGATAGTTATAAAGTTTATGAGCAAACTATAACACATCATAAATACATGTATAATGCATTATCTATGTGGGCATTGTCAATGAGTTAACAGTTATAACACATTACAATACCTGACCTTGTAAGTCATGTTAAAATGCTTTATAATGTGTTATAATTATTGCTAAAATGCATTATGATTATTTATGAGTGTTTATAACAATAGTTATACAGAGCTATAACCTGATTATAAGGCATTATACATATATTTATAATGCTTTATAGGGATAGGCGTCAAATAAAGTGTTACCTAAAGTTTAAATTACTCACAAAAAAATCGTATTCGTCCCAATATAATTAGACTATCGCCATGTGCTTGTTGTAAATGAAAAGAAATGAAAGAGGGAACACCAAAATACTCCAAACAGATATCATGTACTCTATGTAAGCCACACACACGAGCTCCTTTATCCTTGACTGTCCTGTTACCCTGCATCTTGGGGACTCATCATGAGAAAGGCGCCCACACCTTCTGGGCGGCTGTCAACCGGCTCCCTCTCTCCAGCAACGCCGTTCTCTGCTGGAAGTTCTGCCACGTCTTCCACAAGCTGCTGCGAGACGGACATCCGAACGTAAGCAAAAATGATCCAGAGAAACATTTCATATGAGCATTTTGCGTGTTCACTGGTTAAAAAATGGTGATATTACCTGTTAGATACTTGAGGGAATGATTCATACTTCTGCTGGTGTTACATCTGATCTACATTTGGTTAATTGGACCCACTGAGTCTTGTTCAGTGAACTCATCTCCTCTGCATTTCCCCCTTCCTCTCTGTTTCCGCTGCCGCCCCTGCAGGTGATAAAGGACTCCATGAGGAACAAGGCTGATTTAACTGATATGAGCAGGATGTGGGTAAGTACTCACAGATTATCATTTAACACCACACAGTCACAAATTAAAACCAGTGCAGCCCTCTGCTTCCATATTCAGACCTTATCCTTTATCATCATTTTAATTCTATCTTTACAGTACTATAAATGTTTAAAGTACCAGACAATGAAAACATTTGAGGGTCGCTTTTGTTGTTTCTTCTAGCAACAGAAAACTCTTTATTGAAGAAGCTTTGATAATGTTCATTAACACAGGACCACAGCCACTGACTGTCCCTTCTAGTATTCAGATTGAATTAATGTTCCTCATCATTCTGGTGCTGTCAGACTCACAGACATAAGCTTTGTTTACATGGGCACAAATAATCGGTATAAAGGCCAAATCAGAATAAAAAAGCATTATGCAAACATGTCAATTGGAAGATTCTGATCCGATTCAGCTCAATCAGAAAAAATTGTATTCCGATCGAGAGGGGTGGTTCATGCCGATCGTTATTCCAAAACGTGTCCATGTAAACACTTATTTTAATCGTGACTCTGTGTTGGGGCAAAACTAACCTCACTGCGCACATGTGCCCTACGTCAACGTGATGCTTTTCCACTGTAAGTGATAAGACATAAACATGGCGGGATCGAAAAGCAATTGGTCTGTGTCTGACACAACCTTCTTGCCAGTTACAGTGTCCTCATATAAGGTAGGATCAGTATGTGCTGCTGGGCCCGCTTGATGATCCTGAATGCTAGGAACAATACAACCACTCTCAGAACTTGGCTCAGGTCTATTCTGAGTGGAGGGAAAAATTCTGAATGGGATGAAGTGAGCAAGTACTGCGCTTGTTGGTTTGTTGACAGCACAGGCTGAAAACTCGTCTTCTGCATTTGTTTTTTTTTTTGTTTTTTGCGAAATTAGAAAACACTACGCATGTCCAAATGCTTCTTATCCATATAAAGCTTGGTGCATGTATACTAGGGGTGTCCCGATACAACTTTTTTACTTCTGATGCGATACCGATATTGTAGCCTTCAGTATTAGCCAATACCAATATTGATCGGATATTAGCACAAACTTGTATAAAAAGTTTTGCACTCAGCTACAACGTCTTTTTCAGACTTTAATGAAAAATACCGCCACAGTGCCGACATCACTCTTACTCCTTGCTACTTTGCTAGTACCTTAGTACACACAGTTGTTGTTGATCACATTGGCTCTACATGCTAAATCTGGGCGCTGCTAGATAGAGGTGCTGAAGTAGAGTCTGGAATGGACTGCTTGTGTCGGAGTGCTGATATCAGAGATTTTAGATGCAAGCCGATATATTCCGATATTTTATTTTTTGTTGATTTCTGACTGATATCTGATTTCAATATCGTATCGGGACAACCCTAATATATATGCACGTCATGATCGGATTATTTGATTTTGCGCCCATATAAACAGTGGATTCAGATTTTCTGATCCCTCAAATTTTAATCAGATTAAGAAATTTTGCATATGTTAACATGGCTAATGTGACCTATGATAGAATAATTTTTGTAAGAGAAGACAAGTTTGACCTCTCAAGAGATCCTGCCAACTACACAACACTGCTGACAGCTATATCAACCAGGCAACTCTACCAGCTTCTTTTGAGAGAGCGCCCCTGTTTTTTTGAGGCTAGCACTTTAAGAAACCGTTTCAGTGGTAATAATATTTGTCTTGATCCCTTCACAGTGTTGCTGCAGACCTCTGTGATGAAATTCACTGAGTTACTTGTGTAACTTGTATGCATCACTCTTTATTGAGCAACAGCATCTATAATCTTTCTCGTGCTACGTCTTAAGCAACAGAAGTTTGGGTGGAGAGTTTGCTCTGCCCAGTATTCCTGGACCTACCCTTTGTTTCTCTATCACTCAGTTTTTTTGCTGATGTCACTAGGCAAGAGGATACAGGAAGTTTGGTCCCTCTGACCAGGGCTTTGGCCTCAGTTTCCTGTTGTGTCATCGCCTCCCACACTCCCATACTCAAGGAAACGGGAAGTGAGAAGCAATCGGCTAAATTGCTGCTCAATTCAACTTTGTACATGCTTTGGAAACAGAGACACTGTGACACAGCAGCGTGCACTGACAAATATTTATTTTGTTGTTGTTTTTTTACGATTGAGGAGCTCTACAGGAGAATGTTTTGGCTGCTGAAATAGAAATGCTTCATGCTAGGTCTCACTCTGATTTCCTGAAAACACCAAATGCTTCGCCTCCTTTGTGTTCTTGAACCAGCTGGGTTCATGAGGAAACGATAACTTCATTTTTCTACCTTTGATCGTGTCTCTTTTCTTCTTTTACTCCCTCTGACTCAGGGTCATCTGAGTGAAGGCTATGGAAAGCTGTGCAGCATCTACCTCAAACTGCTCATCACCAAAATGGAGTTTCACATCAAAGTGAGTTGGCCTGGCCTATAAAAATCCAGCAGCAGACTCCCTCATCACTCATTATCTTTGTCTCAGACTCTCCTTTTAGTGCAAGTGTGTCTCTGCGGGGGGGAATAGAAAACTCTGGCTTATACACTAATGGCCTCTCAAGAATCTGTAATGTAGCCTTTTTATGTGACAGCTGAGCTGAGCGGTGCAGGGACAGAGAGGCGGCACTGATGCTATCGCAGGAAAATGTGGTTAATTAATGCTCTTTAGGGTGACAGGCAGTTTTCAAAGAGGCAACTAGAGAATAACCCTGATATTGTGACCTCTTTTCAGATAAAAACATCGATTAACTCTGTGTTTTTGACCAGTCAGTTTGGTTTTCAGCTGCACAAAAATAACAAATGAAAAGGAAATACAGACTCCTTTTCCAAATACAGGTCTGTGAACTTCTGTAAACAAACTAATTGACTTACGATCTGAAGAGAGCTTTTCGACTGAAGAACCTTCCCTTCTGTGTTATTTTTGACAGCTAACTGTTACCAGATACATGCTGTTTTTTTGGATACCTAACCTCACAGATGGCAGAGAAACAAAAACAGTTATCGCAGAGTTAAGTTTTCCTGCAGCCAATCGACAGCCTGTCTGATTCAGAGCCAGGGTTTTTTCTTTTGACTGGCTTCAAACAGGGAGACAGAATCAAAGAAACGCACAGGAGCAGTTGAAATCCAAATGTTTGCCGGAGGTTTCTTCTCAAAAACATACCTAGCAGCAATCATGGAGAGAGAATGATTTTTACATGACGGTTAGGTCAGGTAAGGGCTTGTTTGCTGAAGAGGGTTGTTAGAAAGGAGGAAAACATCAAGGTTTGTGTTACTTTATTTTTAGATAGCTTTTTTTTTCTTTTATTTATTTAAAACTTTTGTTGCGCTGATGTGTGTTTCATTGACTTTACTATTTTACTAATGTGTTATTTAAAATTTTCTGTAAGGCGTCCTGAAAGGTGCCTATAAATTATTATTATTATTGTTAATTATTATTATTATTATTATTTAGAGCAAAATACTCTGTGAATCGCTCTGGTTTCATGATCTGACACTTTATTAGTTTTCCTCAGTTTTTAGTATTAAAATCTGTGTCAGCATGCTTCGCAATAGCAAGACCTCTAAAAACCCACTGAGTACCACCTGCTCATCCCCAGACAGTTTACATTGTTAGCTTCATGACATAGTTGAGATTATAGCGCCCAGAGGTGCAGATATTTTCCCCAGGCTGCAGTGCAAAACAAAAAAAAAAGCTAAAGGGAGGTAGATATTTGACAATTTGAAGATTAGGTGTCAACTTTGTGTTTGCAACTGGATTAAGTTTTCCCTAAGAGGCCCAAAATTATGATTTTGTATGATTCAAATGAGGGGAAATTTCCTGTTGGTATGCTTTAAAGCTGTCTGGTAAAGTAGAAGGAGAGTGAAATAGCGGTGCGTCATATGTAATATGAGTAAAAATTAGATTTTTTTTCATGATTGCTTCTGATTTGCAAGGAAGGGGCAGGTCTAGATAAGCTCTTTGCTTCAAAACTGTTTGTTTTTTGACATACACATGTTAGTGTAGATTTATCTTTGACATGTACAGTTTTTTTGGTGCACATATGTATTATTTTGCTCAGTGTTTTTGTTTCTAGTTTTTTTTTTGTTGTTGTTCTTAAAGTTTGAGATAAATAAAGAAGAATTAAATGTCTGTACCTTTAAGCCACAGAAATAAAAACAGTTTTTTTTAAATAGGTTGAAGAGCAGCTTCATGAACACAATAAGTGTTTACTCTGTACATTTAGTCATGTGTTTAGACCCCCAGAACTGCTTCAGGTCTCCTCCTCTCTTCCTCTCTTTCAGAATCCTCGTTTCCCCGGCAACCTGCAGATGTCAAACAGACAGCTTGACGAGGCCGGGGAGAACGACGTGAATAATTTGTGAGTGTGGCATCTTCACTCATTCTTATTGATGTAATTATAATTATTATTGTTGTTGTTGTGGTGTTGGTGGACTGCGGTGCTGGCCGGCCTCTCTAGATGAAAATATCAATGAGTTTGAGTGTTTCAGTGTTATCTGTCAAACTGTGTCGACCACACTGTGAGGTAAAATAAAACTGGTAAATATTTAATCACTGTGCGCCAGAGCTGTTCATTCATTCAAGAACTTACTCATGATGATAATTTTAGAAAAGTCAAAGGTTCTTTTTGAGGACAAGGCATTGAAAATAGTAAAAGAAATGAAATGGTTAGTCAGTTTTAAAATTCAAAAGTGTTATCAGTCCAAGAGAAATTTTTACACCATCATGAACTACAAAGCTTAAATAAAAAGCATCAGATAAATTTGAACATAAAATAATCAGTTTAAGAGCCAGAATCCAGTTCAGAGTGAGATTTGAGGCTTGATTTGATTGTTTTCAGCAGTGGTCCTTCGTTACTATGATCCCCTCTTGAGCAATTCAGATCCTGAGCTGGTACAGATATCTGCCCCACTGACTGTTATTCCACTTGTGTTAGTCATTAAATAAGGCATTTTCAATTTTACACAATCCCACAGTGCTCCTTGGGTTGTATTTTGAAGGGCAGTTGCAGTTTGTAGTAATAGTTAATTCCTTATCCGCACGCGAACCCTCCTCCCCAGATGAATGTGGCACAAGAGAATCTTTTTGTGATTATATAAAACAAATCGAGGTTTGAGATGACCAGTGTGTGCTGTCATAGAAAATTAAAAAAAACAATGTTGAAGGCTCGATGCCAAAAAACACACAGCTTTGTTCAGATGGATTTTAACGAGAGTGTTTCAAAGTTTTTCTAAATTTCCATGATAAGAAGATTGATCAGTACAAAGTGTGCTTTATTATGTAGGGTGACCATACGTCCTCTTTTACCCAGACATGTCCTCTTTTTTGGGGGCTGTCCGACCCGTCGCCTTGTCTAGCTTTGTCCAGGGGAGTTTATAAAATCCCTCAAACGTCTGGGGTTTTGTATGGAAGTTTTGAGTTTGTGTCGCGTGAATATACTGAGTTAGAAGCACGTAAAAAACACTAGACCCGACCTGAAAAACTCTCAAAATGAACTATGCGCGACTCTGTGACTCCACCCCCTTCTGCGTAGTCGTGTCCTCCTTTAGGGGAATCAGAATATGGTCACCCTACATTAGGGAACTTTTAAAGTTTGAGACATCCAAATGCGATAAGGAAATGATCCATTTTTGTACAATAATGATGAGGTAAACACTTTTTTCTGAACAGGCCAGGATTACCGTATTTTTCACACTATAAGGCGCACCTGATTATAAGATGCACCATCAATGAACGCATCTATTCGTGTCTACTTTCGTACATAAGGTCCACCGGATTATAAAGCGCATTAAGCCACGCAAAACAGTCTTTATTTATCTCATTCAGTAACTCCGCGAGGCTACGGTAACTGCAGAAAAGATTTTAAGTGCACCTTATAGTGCGAAAAATACAGTATTTTGTTTTTAGAAAGAGCTGGGTTAGTCTCTGAGCGCCGTCACCCATCAATCTAAAGTTTCCACTGTGATCTGATGAAAACAGACCTCTGCACTGTCAGCCTGTAAAAGTGGTTCATCTCTCCGTCTCTGTCTCTCTCACTCTTACAGCTTCCAGTTGACAGTGGAGATGTTCGACTACCTGGAGTGTGAGCTCAACCTCTTTCTGGGTGGTGAGTTATTTTACTTCGACCGTCTACTCTCTGCCTCCAGCTGCGCTGTGCTGATCTGAGCGTGACGCTGCGCATGACACAGACTGATGCACACCAGTTCACACTTTGACGGACAGACTGATTGACGCTGTGTGACTGATAGGTGTCCTGCACATAATGGTGCTCGGAAATAGACGCAGTAGATGTGTATCTGCGGTGTCATGGGGGCTCCACCTCGTCTGAGTCAGTCTGCTCAAACACCATTAGCTGTAACACACTGTGCCCGAACCCTGTTGTTGTCTGGGTGAGTCATGTCGGGTTAATGTCTTGTTCTAAATGCGTGGACAGGGGCTAAAAATAGATGTCTGGGATGTGACCAGGAGCTCAGAAGAAATGATGGAAAAACCGCACACTCCCATTCATTAATGAGGAGGAAATTACAGCTGTGCTTCTGTGTGTATTTCCATTTACTCTGGGGTGCAGAAACGGAGATAACTTCAAGGACTTTACTCAAACAGTTATTGAATAAAACTGGAAACTTTTCCTTTCAAATTACCCAACTCTTAAGAATGTGTAACTACACACACAAATCTCTCAGAGCCAATCAGCTTCCTCCTCTGGTCGGGTGTATTTAAACAGCCTCACATCACCCAGGAGTGTCTGAGTCTGTGTGTGTTTGTCTGTTTGTTAGTGTTTCAGTGTGTTTTCGAGCTGGGCAGGAAACCACGCCTCTGCAGTGAGCAGCACAGGGGCCCTTTGGGTCTGGTTTTTTGGGCGGGTGTGAACTGGATGGTGGAGAAATGAAAGAAAGAGGGGTGTAATCATGGAAGTTGCAAGAAGCCAAGACAATTCTGGTAGTGTTCAGGTTGCTGTTTGCTCACTTGTTTGACATCAGAACTTTTTTTCAGTCTCTGGAGCGAGCTCTGTGTTTCTAATGAGTTAGTTTTTATGGTCTAGGCAGAAAAATAAACAGAAAGAGAGAGAGAGACTTGATTGATTCATGAAAAATTCATCATTGTTCATGTTTGCCTCGCTGTGTTTGCATTAATAATCACTTCTGCGTGCGTGTGTGTGTCTGTGTGTGCATCTGCAATGACAGCAGCAGTGTTTAACCCAGTCTGTGTGCACATATTGATCCGGTGATGACATCCTTTGATCCGGCTGGTGTGCTTCTCTCTCCTCCTAGTTTTCAGCTCTCTCGACATGTCTCGGTCAGTATCGGTGACGGCAGCGGGTCAGTGTCGTCTGGCGCCCCTTATCCAGGTCATCCTGGACTCCAGCCACCTCTACGACTACACTGTCAAGCTCCTGTTTAAGCTGCACTCCTGTGAGTGACACACACACACCTCTGTTGGCCAAACTGAACAACTACAGCACAGGATGCTAAATGTGTTTACAATCATGCATGTTTGTCCCTCTGGTTTCTGGTCAAATTTTGGGGATTTCACAGATTGATTTGTTAAAGGAGTTAATATGGCAAATTCCTTTTTTTTATGTTTGGGTTTGATTATTGACCTTTTGTGCATGAAGACTATTTTTCAGTCAGTATTACATGTTAAATAGTATGGGTGGAAGAAAAAATTGATACAGCATAGTATTGTGTTATTTTGTCTGCTGATATATCGTATCGTCTCATTTACCAAGTATCCATTTTTTAAATTAATTGCTAATATGAAGTCAATTCAATGATAGTGGAAAAATAAAATCAACTGTTTGTCCAGTGAGGTTGGTGTATATATATATATATATATATATATATATATATATATATATATATAAGGTTTGTAAGACATGCTACATGAAAATAAAATACAGCGGAAATAAGACGAACATAAAGGAAAGACAAATGCTAAATTAGCAAAATGGTTGAAAAAATTGTATAAATCACAATATATCATATCGCGATACTCACTGTATTGCAGAATGTTAAAATCACATTATTATCATGTCATCGCCCAAGTATCGTGATTGTGTCATGACTATATCGTATCGTACAATAATATCATGTTGTGATAATATCATAATAATCACGATACGATTTTATCCCACTCCTATTAAATAGGTCACATTTTAACACAATCTTCTCACTTATGGAACAAAATTTGCATGAACAAATTTTCCAACTGAAAATTGCATAAACTATAAATCTCAGTAAACTCACCAAAAAGTGCATCATCCTTAAAAACTGTAACTGTGTCATCTGGAATAATGATAGTAAAGTCAAAACACATCCCGTCTGCTCTCATGTTTTGACCACTACCTCCTAAAAACATCATAATGCATCACTTCTGTAAATGCTCTGGTCTAGGGCTGGGCGATATGGCCTCAAATCAATATCACGATATGTTGAGTAAGTCACCTCGATAACGGTAAATGGACGATAACTACTCCACAAGCTGCTCACCCCCTCCCACATTAACTTCGTCTACTTCAGCCGCTCCAACTTTTGAACCGTCCTCCATCTCCTCACCTGTCTTTCTCTCTTTGTTAGGACTGGATGGGGTGGAGTCTTGTCTTCAACATAGGACAGCGTCTTAAAGGGACATGAGACCATAGCCTACCTACACACATCCAAAACCAACTTTTATTTATCTATGTATTTTTTTAACACCAAATTTACTGACATGGGCAAAATGACGTCGGTTATTGTTGTAAATTTCAGTATTGGTCAATTTTCGGTGTATCGCCCAGCCCTACTCTGGACCCTACTTGAGTTTAGAATATTTCAAGAATGATCACTAAATATGGACTATCACACACTTTTTTTGTGTGTAAGTTGTTTCTCCATGAGCTCTATCACATCACGAGAACACTGGATTTATTCTTTGAGCACCAGCTTAACGTTTAGCTCTTCAGTGTCCTGTGGTGCAGAAGTTTGTGCATGAATACTTAAAGGGGGTGATGCTTCACTTCAAAGGTTCAAAGATGACGTGCTCCTCTTTGAGTTTAAAAAAAAAAAATCAGACCTTTTGGTTCCTGAAACCTTCAAAGCCCCACATGATAAGCTCAAACATCCATGCAACTCTGTTTCAAAAAGAGTTTTTCTCCATTTCTGATGAGGAGCCTTTTGATATGTTCATGCACAAAACCCCCAACACTCAAACATTATATGAATACAGAATATCTGAAGAGGTCTTGAGTCCCACCTCTGAAGTTTTTTTTATGTTTTGTTTCTGCTTTCAGGCCTTCCAGCTGACACTCTCCAGGGCCACAGAGATCGCTTCCAGGAACAGTTCAAGAAGTATGTCGTTTGCTGAACTCGCTCGCACACACAGGCAGAACCAGAGCTGATCATAATGTTGCATCCTCTAAGAAGTGCTCTAAATGAATCCACATCGTCTAATTCCTCTCTCCCTTCTCTATGTCTAAGGTTAAAGAGTCTCTTCTATCGCTCCAGTAATCTGCAGTATTTCAAGAGGCTCATTCAGATACCACAGCTGCCAGAGGTGAGGACTGCCTCACTAAATCTGACTTTTTCCATGGATTAAAAACAACAGAACTTCTTGTTCATCTCTTAAACATGGTGCCAGCTTGTGTTCAATCGTTGGTTCGCTGATCCTTTAACAGTCTTCTCATTATTTACAGCTGTTTTAGATAATCTCATACAAACTTTCATGTCTTTTTTTATTTACTGTTTATCTTATAGCTCTTATCCACCCTCCTGCACTTGACTAGTTTTAGGAAAATCTAGCCATATGAGAGAAGTAGTAGTATTAGATATATATTTTAAATAAGACTTACTTTCCTCAGATGCACCAACATCCAACAACTTTTTGTGCACTTGCAGCAAAAATAACCAATATCAGTGAATAAAACGTGGTTCAATATGGACTTTTAAGAAATAATTTCAGTGTTTTTATGAATCACAGCATTGCTACATTAAATCGTTGCATTATTTTGCTCTGAGTTTACTCACATGCTTTCAGTTTAATGTTAGCAATAGCAGCTAAGACAGATCGTTTTTAAGAAGGCCACAGGGTTAATGTTACCATGGAGACGGTTCAAACTATGAGTGAGACGGACGGTTTCCAACTGAAGTTCTATATTTATACTCATTACTTACCAAAAGTTGACGAACGGTCGAAGAATCTCATTCTCCAGATTGAGTTCGAGTATGAGTTGTAGTTTTATGAGTGCAACCTTACTTCAATTGTGCCAAATCCTGGTTAAATCCATCAACAAACAAATTTAAATGCGGTTTTTAAAGTGTGCTTTGTGATTCTTGCAGAACCCTCCTAACTTCCTGCGTGCGTCAGCTCTGTCGGAGCACATCAGCCCCGTGGTCGTGATCCCAGCTGAGTCGTCATCCCCGGAGTCTGAACACGTGGTGGAGACAGACGACCTGGTGGACACAGACGTCCCAGTTCTGCCGGTAACTAAAATAAACAAGACAACAATCCCTGAGTGGTATCTTCCCATAATGCAATTCTATTTGACTGGTGTGTTTTTGTTGCCTCTGAGAAGAACGAACACAAAGTAGTAAATGAAAGAGGTGGAAGACAAAGTAATGACATGAGCACATTTCCCTGGTGAAATACATTAGTATTAGATTTTAGTACAATGTATTAGAACATTTGATATTTAAAATGTAAAGTTTATTGATTTTCACATGACTGTCTGTAAAATCTGTTTATTTATGCATAAAGAGAAAACATAACGTGGTTTTTAAATAGTATTTTAGATGAACATTCCAGCTACAAAACACCTGGATAGATGGATGGTGTGATAGAGATCAGTGTGTTTTTTTAATTATAATTTATGTTTTAAACTTTCAGGCTGCAGTGGAGACTAAGTTTGATGACCTGTTTGGTACCTCAGCCGCTATAGACCCTTTCAACTTCAACAGTCAGAACGGGATGCGGAAGGATGACAAGTAAGACTTTGGCGTGATTAACTATAGAGCAGATTTTAAACTGAGATCAAGGTCAAGCAGAGTTTTATTTTTATATGTTACAAGTCAAAGTGAAAATCTATGTTTTTTTATTGGTATTTTGTTTTTACCCATCAGAGACCGTCTGATTGAACAGCTAACACGAGAAATTCAAGCCCTAAAAGAGGAGCTGGAGTCTTTCAGACTGGAGGTAAAGAGAAGAACCGACTGTATATCATCCACTGTTAAAATTTCTGATCCCAGAAACAACTTTCTACTAACTACATATCTGCTTCAACTTTTTTTTCCTCCATCCTCAGAGCGGTCGCTTGTGTCAGGCGCTGCGGGGGCGTGTCAGTGAGCTGGAGGCAGAGCTAGCAGAGCAGAGTCACCTGAGGCTGCAGGCTGCAGGGGAGAGCGAGTTCTTGAAGGCAGAGCTAGACGATCTGCGGAGGGTCAGAGAGGACACGGAGAAGGAGCAGCGAAGCCTGACAGAAATCGAGAGTAAGGCCAGATTTAATAAACTTTTTTCTCTCTGCAGGTAAATGCGTAGTGTAGTTAAATTATTAAAGTATGGAGTAATCTTCATGGAGTCATCCATCTCATCCAAAGAGTGACAGGGAAAATAAGGAAATTGATCAAACTGGGTCTTAGCTGGCACAAATAATAACCAGATGTTTGTTGACTTGTGGTTCTGTCAGAAAAGGCTCAGGCCAATGAGCAGCGCTACACCAAACTGAAGGAGAAGTACACCGAGCTGGTTCAGAGTCATGCAGACCTGCTGAGGAAGGTGAGGAAGAGGAATCTCTGTTTTTATGTTCAGTAAATCTGTCTCTGTGTCTAATTCAGCTGTGAATCCCCCGACTTAGACTGAATGTTGTCCTTCTACGGCCCTTAAAATTTTCTTTCCCTCTTTATATTTTACCCCCACTCTCAATGATCCAACTCCTGCCTCAGTTTTCTGAAAAGTTTCTCTGCTTGTCTGCATCTTTATCCACCGTCGTCCTGTGTTTGTTTCGGTGTGAGTAGAACGCAGAGGTGACCCGGCAGATGACGGTGGCGCGGGCGGCTCAGGATGAGGTGGAGGAAGTCAGACGGGAGATGCAGGAGAAGGTGAAGGCGGCTCAGGAGAGTGCAGACAGACAGGTGGGCACATTTTCTCAGCAGGTCACTCCCATGTTTTCATCCACATCATGTGCTGGAGCGTTGGGTAGAATGACTTCAACACATAAGAACACCACAAACTGCATCTTTGAGGGGTTAAAGATGATGTGAGTCGTCTAAAGCGTCACTGTGACTTTTCTTGCAGGAGAGGGATCAGCTGGATCAGCTTCAGGAGCTCCAGAGGGAGCTGGTGTCCAGCAGGGCAGAACTAGACTCCCTGAAGACCACCATGGTCTCAACACAGCAGGTATTTGCCCTTTTATAATGAAAACCTTTAGCTGCTGTCTGTCGACTAGATCTCACAGAGTTCCTACTGCAAAAGATGAATAACATTTATAGTATTAAGGACAGCGCCAAAAAGTAAAACCCCTGTTCCAAAAAAAGCTAGGACACTCTAGAAAGTTTGTTGTTTTCCAAATAATTTCCACTGTATATTTAATTAAAATCCGGGCGAAAACGACATACAAAAAGTTCAGACTGAAGTTTAAATAGTGCTCAGTTTAAAGTGATTGCAGGATCACATCTAAAAAAAAAGTTGGGAAAGGATCACATTTGGGATCAGATCATTTGGCATCTTCTACCAAAAAAAAGATTTTTTTAATTTGTTTTTCATTTCACCTCAGTCCAGCTTATATAGATATATATTATATATTTTAACCCATTTAAACTGGGACAGCATGTACGCATTTCAACCTCCCAAGCCGGCGGCGCCACTGTGCATGTCTACTCTTCAAGCTGGGAGCGCGGATACATCATTTTGTAACATTCTGTAGTTTTTCAATCATTGCTGGAGTCATGATGAATCAAATCATCATACCTGTCTGCCTCTGATAGGCTAATAAAGCGATCAGATTCATTATGGGTTAAAGGAAATTATTCTGGATATTCTGACTTTTTGAGTCTTTTTAATGTACAGTAGATGATGAAATTTAGTTCTGATTTTACACGAACAAACATGAATTTTGAACTCCTGAATTATTTCCTAGAGCTGATCAAAACTAGCTGCTGTAGCATTTGCTATAAAAACTCGACTGTCCCTGATGCTGAAAATGATTTGTAAACTAAACTGAATCTGTGTTTGTCTCTGATATGACTGTCGCTCCCTCCATTTCATCTCTCAGTCCTGTGACTCTTCCTCCTACAGCAGAATCTCAAACACATGCAGCTGTTGACGGGGTTGATATGCTAATACATTTCTCTCCCGTCAGTGAGTTTGTGTTCAGTGGAGGGGGAAATTGGTTTAACAGGAGCGAAGAAGTCTTCACCCTCTGCTCTGCCCGCCTGTGTTCATCATGTTTGTAACAGACTGACTGCTTATTTAAAACAAGGAGAGACAGAATCAGTTGTTTTAGTACAAAATGAGTGACTGAGTTGTGAATTCACTCTGTTAACCGCCCAAGCTCCTCTGATTTCATGTGATTCCCTCTTTCTCCTCTTCCCACCCCTCACATCCTATTTCTGTATCCACTGCTCATCAATTCTTGTCATTTTCTGTCCGCCCTGTCTTCCTCCTCCTCCAATCTTTCATCTGCTCCTCACACAGCCCACATCTCATCACTTTTGTCACATCCCTCCAGTGTCCAGATCCCACTGTAGCTGCTCCTGCCACACACAGTTTGCCTCCTTATTCTTAACAATTCTGTTTCTCCTCCGTTTCTCAATGTTTCCCGTCTTCTGTTGGATCTTCTGGTTCTCAGGCTGTAAGTCTCTTTTTCTTACCTGCACAACACATAAATGCACATCATTTACTTCTATTAATGACAGGTGATTCTCAAGGTGTGATGTATCCACTCACTCAAGGTGTGATGTAACCTCTCACTTGAGCAGAGGACAGTACGCCATGTCTCCCGCTTAAACTGAGGCGATGTTGTTTCAGTCAGAGTCTGTATCTGAGTTGCTTTTTAATAGCGAGGTCTTGCCACATCCTGACATTAAACTACCTTGTTTTCCTGTTCATTGTTGTGCCTCAAAATCATTTCCCCTTTTTTCTTTTTCATTTGTGCAGTCGAGCGAGGTGCTCAGCACCCAGCTGGCCACCCTGGAGTCAGAGAAGGCGGAGCTGGTGGAGTCTCTATCAAAGGTGGAGGCGGAGCTTGCTGTCCGAGGGGAGGAGCTCGAAAACGTCCAAAGCTCTCTGGCGACTGAAAGGGAAAGTGGAGTGAAGACGGCAGAAGCTCTGCAGAATCAGCTCAACGAGAAGGTAAATGAATGATCTTTCTTTATGAGCTTGAATAAATCAAATATGCAGGTTAAGTTGTTGTGTTAAATTCAAGTACATCCATGCGTGCGTGTGTTTGCATCCACAGGAGAGCAGAGAGCAGGAGTTAGAAAGCCAGCTGGTGGCGGCTCGCTGGTCCAGTCTGCAGGGAGCCGTAGAGGAGGCAGAGAAGATCATCCAAGATTCTCTGGCACAGATAGATGACCCAGCACACATCAGCTGCACCAGCTCTGCAGGTCGGGAGCTAATGGTTTTACTGAACATGACAGCGCAGAGCTGCAGCTATTCAAGAGCGGGATTATAATTAGCACAGCGTGTGTAGTTCCTTCGGTGTGCATGTCTGTGTCTCTAAGCTTTGTTGCTTCTCCTTTAATTCCTGTAGACTACCTAGCATCCAGATGTCAGGCCTCTATAGACTGTATGGACCGGCTGACCTCTGCCAGAGAGGGCTTTGTGGCCGACAACACAGGTGAGGGCTTTCAGTTCAGCTTTCAGAGGAATATGTTATAAGCACTTAAGTTTCAGTTTGGCAGCATGAAGCTCAATATTAAAAAAAAACATTACAGCTGGACAATGACCGCTTAAATATAAAAGTTTTAAGGTTTTTCTGAATGAATCTCTCCCTTAAAACTTATTTTGCTCCCATTTTCTTCTCACAGAGCTAAGGCCAACGTGCTTTGAAATAGGGTTAGGCCAGAAGAAGAGAAAAAAAATTTTTTTAAATTTCCATTTTGAGATTAAAGTCAAAATTTCAAGATTAAAGTCGAAATTTTAAAAAAGTCGAAATTTATGTCGACTTTAATCCTGAAATTTCAATTTTAATCTCAAAATGTTAATTTTTTTTTACCCCAAAATTTCAACATTATTAACAATGTTTTGTAATCTCAAGATTTAAAATTTTATCTCGAAAGAGCTAATCTCAGAATTTCGGCTTGTCGGTTTTATTGACATAATTAGGCTTTATTGACATAATCTTGATTTTTTTAATCTTGAAATTTCGACTTTAATCTCCTACCTGTAATTATTTTTTTTCTCTTCATGTGGCCCTAATCCTCTTTCGTAAATATGCTTCTGTGTTTCCACTCGAGAGTTTTGATAACAGCTGAAACAGTTTTTAGTTTTATGGTTTTTCCAAGCTGACAAATTCAGTTTGACTACATGTAGCTCTGCGTTTTTAGGGGTGATATGACCGGCTAGCACAAGCAATCATTCATTTTAGCATTTTTGTATTAAAAGAAACCAGAATGCATCATGAATAATTGTTAAATTGCTGTATTTTCCAAACAGCGGATATTTAGATGACCAGCATCTGATAGACGCATTTTTCCTTTTTTTTTAAACTTCAATTTTATTTGCATTTTTTAACTATAACTGAAACAAGACATACAGTCATACAGGAAAAAAAAACAGAACATAATGTCATTCAGAGAGGAAAAAAAATGTCCATGTAGCCTCCATTAAAGTTGTTTATTTTTTTAAGTGTTGTTGAGAGATTTGTATTTGTGATAGCCACATTTTTCAATCAATCAGTCTACAACATGACGGAAAAGAATGTGTATTAATGATTTCTACATTTACATGATCTGTGAACTGGTCAGCTGTAAATCTGTATTTATTTATCATGTCTTTGTTTAGGTGTGTCTGAGCTGGTGCGAGTGGTGACCCAGTGTGGCCACCTGGTGGGCGACACCATCATTCAGGGAAGTGCCACCTCCCACATGGTGCCTGTTGAGCAAGCTGATGGTGAGTAAACATATGAATGAGTGATAGAGAGGTGATACGTAAGGTCTCTGCTTCTCTCTTGATACTCATCTGTGGGCGAGTCCCTTAGCCCCGGCATGAACATGCTCCAACATGTCTGCTCCTCATGGGTCATACCTCTTTTGATGAAAGAGGAAGCTGAGCAGGAGTGATTGGGTTACTTTTGTAACGCTGTGGAATAGTTGCTATATAACGTCTGGCTCATGTTGCAATTATAAACAGCAGGTGACAGTCGTGACTTCAAGAGCTTGTGTGGTTAAAATACATTTGCAGGCTTTACACAGGAGGCCTGTTTTCAAAGTTTGTTCTCTTGGAGGTTTTAAAGAGTCAGGTCAAGTCTACACATGACCTGATACAAGAGAACCCATCACTGCGACAAAAACAGGCGTGTAGAGCTAAAACCAGGTCAGTCTAGACCTGGTGTAGCTGCAGCCTGGAAATCAATGAGGCTGCATTGATCATGTTTGCTGAAACATTTAAATGCGGCGCTTGAAAGCATGCGCACAGTTAGATGCAAATCAGCTCACAGTCTTTCATCTAAGAACACAGCCCGGAGGTATTTTGCTTTCCCTGCTTCTCCCATCAAAGTGGAGTGTTGAGCGCCCCGCCTCAGGGGATGTCAGTGTAATTATATCTGCAGCTGTAGCAACTAGTGGCACGTATCAAGCTGTAAACTATATTTGATCAGAAAATTAAGAGTAAATAATGCCACGGCGTAACATGTTAGCTGTGAGGCTTCAAAATGCTTTCGGATTTTGGTTGTTTTGAGTGCCTGTCGGTGTGTTTTTGATGACATGCGTCCTCTTTTGTCTGAATCAGCCCTGTCAGAGAGCGTGAAGGCGTGCGGGGCCGAAGCTCTGGCTCTTCTCAGCCAGATGAAGCAGCAGGACAGCATAGAAGCAGCAGATAACAGCAAGCTGAAGGCGGCGCTGGAGGCCATCCTGGCCACTGCAGAGGTCAGTACGTACTGAGGTCAGGTTTGCAGGAAGATGAACTGAATAGAGAGATAGATTGTTCAAATAGAAATCTGCCTTTTTGAGAGCTTTTGCCGTCGCACTGACTTCTCCGTCTTTGTTCAGAAACTGCGTCCTCGTGGTTTGGAGCTAAAGCAAGGGGAGCTGGGAGACCTTGTGGAGCAGGAAATGGCTGCCACTTCCGCTGCTGTTGAATCAGCTGCTGCAAGGATAGAGGTGTGTGCCTGCGTGTGTGGTTACATTTGTGTGTTTCTGTTCAGCTGCAGTCACCTGATCCCCAGTCCTGTATTTAAAAGAACTTTGCGTGTGTCTGTAAGAGCCCTTTGAACGCTGTGAAAACATCGCCCCCTGTTTCTTTTTGCAGCAGTATTAACTTCAAAGCAACCTTCTTTTTTTGTCTCTCTGTGGATCCCAACAGGAAATGCTCAACAAGTCTCGAGCAGTTGATACAGGAATCAAGATGGAGGTCAATGAGAGGTAAAACTCACAAGAGACGTTGGGATCACTTTTTTCTGTTACAAAAGTCAAATACAATCCAGTGTCTCCAACGTGAACCAGACCTTACAACAGGGTTTAATGTATGTCAAAGAAAAACACTGAAGACTGTTTCCTCTACTTAAGATTCAGTGAAGTTGGAGAGACAGTCAACCCTCAAATAAACAGCTTTTTATGACCGCAGTATGATTGGTCTAATTTCCATTACAGGAAGTTCAAGATTCAAAATGAAAGTAAAAGATGTTAAAGAAAAATACAGAAGGATAAGATAAGAAGAGATGAGATGTTCCTTTAATAGTCCCACAGGAGGAACCTCATTATCTGCTCTTGATTAGTACAACAAGCTGAGCGTCAAGCTGTTTACTTACTGCATGACATTTCAGGGCAGTTGCAGACGATCACACACTGAGGCCTGATGTGCAAAGAATATTTATCAGTTCAGCCGCTAAAGTGCAAAGTCTGAGCCCAGCCTTGCTCTGTCTGCCTCAATGAAAACCTGGATTTAGTTCTCTGGTGTGTTATCAGTGGTTTGAATATTGTCTTTGCTAACTTGTGTGCTCCAAATTGATTCATTAGGATTTATTAACTGCATATGAATCTTAAATAAATTGTCTCAGGCTGCAGGTTTGTAGCTCGTAATGCATTTGTCTCATCGTGATGTCTGTGTTCATGACATTTTGGGTTGTTTTTTTCGCTCAAAACAAATTAAAACTATGTTTTAATCATCTAGCCTGGATAATAACTGTCTTTGCACAAATTTAGCCCACTAAACAGCCTTTTATTCTGATTTAATAATTCATGTTTAAAAAAGTTGTTTCCCCAGAAGCCGCACCACTGCTATGAAATACAATCATAAAACCAAATAAACAAGCACCGCAGCACTATTGCTGCTTTGAGATTTAGGTCAGTGGTGCATCAGTCATGCAACAACAAGCCCATTTCTAAACAAGCCTGATTCTTCTCTGTTTTGATCTGCGTCTGTATTTCCCAACAAAATGAGCAAATCTGGAATAGAATCAAATGAGATTAAGACATTCGCAGGTTCAACACTGATTACGCTTTCTAATGTTGTACTTTCTAGTAAAATGAGAGAATGGATATTGGCAGCAGCTGTAACGCCGTTCGCTGTGTGAATTTTCGTGTCCCCTGCTCTGTCGCCCCCTGCAGGATTCTGGCCTCCTGCACGGAGCTGATGCAGGCTATCAAGGAGCTCATTCTGTCTTCCAAAAATCTGCAAAGGGACATTGTGGAGAGCGGCAGGGTGTGTAATAATACTTTTCTCTTTTTGTTATGAATTTAATGACTGATACATTTTTTATGAAGCTCACTTAAACTGACTGTTTCATGTGTGTTTCTCTTTACTCCTTATACTGTAATGGATAAGTTTATAATCACAATATCATATCTACTCTGGAAAAGCTCAACACAGGCTGTTTTTATGTCTTTTATTACTTTTATTTATTTTATACTTTTGTGTTTTTATTTCATTCATTTTATTTCATTTTAAATGTTTTTTTTAACTGTTTTTATTAATTTCATTAAGATGTTTTCACCATTGCCTGTTCTTTTAATTTATTGTGCAGCACTTTGGTAGACTTAAATGTTTTTTAAAATGTGCTATATGAATAAAGCGGATTGGATTGTGTTGATTCACATAATTTCATAAGCTGCGGCTTTTGAGTTTGACCCTATATTTTTACAGATGTTTAATGTGCAAATGTATCGGAGTTCCTTGTCGTGAATTATGGTAAACTTGTAATATTTTGATTTTTAATTGTTGGCAAAGAAGAAGACGTTTGATAAACCCTCAGAAACTGGTGTGGGGATTTGAACACCAGTTACAGCGTGATTGAATTATAAGACTAATTCTACAACCAAGAAATACTTCGCAGGTTGATTGATAATTACACGCAATGATTGAATATGTCTGCTGTTCTCATATCAGAGAGATTAAACTGTGTCATAGAACAGTGGTTCTCAAGTCCAGTCCTCGAGGAACACTGTCCTGCATGTTTTGGATGTTTCCCTGCTCCAACACACCTGATTCAAATGATCAGCTCGTTATTAAGCCATGACAGAGCTTCATAACGAGCTGATCATTTGAATCAGGTGTGTTGGAGCAGGGAAACATCCAAAACATGCAGGACAGTGGGCCTCCAGGACTGGACTTGAGAACCACTGCCATGGAACAAAGATTTGAAGATGTACTCTTGTGTCCACCAGGGGGCAGCCTCCATGAAGGAATTTTATGCCAAGAACTCCCGCTGGACTGAGGGTCTGATCTCTGCCTCCAAAGCAGTAGGATGGGGTGCTACAGTCATGGTGTAAGTATCATTGCTCCACTCAGTGTCTGTTGTGGTGTGTTAACGTGTTTATGTCCATAAAGATTTTAGAGGGAAAGCGCTCTGCAAACTGCTGCGACTGTTAAGGAAACTTGATACAGCCTAGTGAATAAAAGTGGTGATCCTTTCAGGGGTATAAAAATAAAATAAAAGTAATGTTTTCATGTTCTGCTCTGGGGTTCATTTTGCACTTTGTAATTCCAGGGACGCTGCTGATCTGGTGGTGCAGGGCAAGGGGAAGTATGAGGAGCTGATGGTGTGTTCACATGAAATAGCTGCCAGCACAGCACAGTTGGTGGCCGCCTCTAAGGTGAGTAATAAACTCAGACTTGTCATACTTCTTTTAAAACTTGTACAAGTTTGGTGACCGGACAAAGGATATCTTAGCTATCATTTTTATACAAGTAAATTCAGGAGTTTTTTTGATATTTCCTCACTAATACAGATAGAGGCAGAATCCCAGGGCTTTACTTGCAGCAGTATAGATGACAAATACAGAAGAGCATTTGTGTTTTTACTCGGGGTTGATAATCTCTTCTCCTGCTGTTCTCCTCTCCAGGTAAAAGCAGACAAAGACAGTTCCAACCTGCAGCGCCTTCAGCTGGCGTCCCGCGGTGTTACACAGGCCACTGCAGCTGTCGTGGCCTCCACCAAGTCTGGGAAGTCTCAAATCGAGGAGACAGGTGAGACACTCTCCACATGGACTACAGAGTCTGGTAGTTTGGTTTGAGAACTGACAGCTGGTTTGAAATGTCAGTGAAAACTCATGACAGAGTGAAAATTTTTGTTGTTTGTGTGCAGATACGATGGACTTCTCCAGCATGACGCTCACCCAGATCAAACGGCAGGAGATGGATGCACAGGTCAGCAACAGAAAACAGGCAGATATAAATGACCAGCAGAGTTGGACATTGGCAAAGGAAACTCTTTCCCGTTGGCCTTTAACATTAGAAAATCAGCAAATGTAGCACCTTTTCCCTTAATTTTCTGTCCTTTCAGTAATTTGAGAAGAATTAAGAGTATAATACGGGGTAATTAGTGTGTCTGCATTTCCTCAGGTCCTGGTACTGGAGCTGGAAACTCGTCTGCAAAAGGAACGAGAGCGTCTTGGCGAGCTTAGGAAGAAACATTATGAGCTGGCCGGTGTGGCGGAGGGTTGGGGCGAGGAGGAGGAGGGTGAGGATGGAAACGACCTCTACGCAAAAATCCTCATCATACAAAATGTTACTCTGCAAATGAATAAAGTGTGTCTGTCTCCTTCTTCTCCACAGGCACAGGCTGAGACCTGCAGACCCTCCACCCCCACCCCCTCTTCTTCTCTCTGCCTCTTTCTATTTATACACACACTTTTCACTCTTTCTCTTCCTTGTTTTCTTCATTCTGTTTCCTGTTTGTTGTCTAAGCCAAATTCAAAGGTGCTTCTTTTCTAAAAACCTGCTTCTCCACCCGTGTCCTAATGCTTCCATAGAGGACGGCACTAAGGGCTCAGCAAGAGGGGAGGGGCATTAAAAAACGGAGGAACAAGTGGATGTAAGGAGAAGGAAACACCCTGACTTCCCGGCCTCTCACACCCCCTTCTGCCTCCCCCTCAGGACTGTGTCGGTGTAAAGAGCAGTCAAAGTAAAAGTGGACCCATTCTGCAGAGTATTTATTGATGATTTCTCCCCCTTTTTTTTTGGATAATTCACACCATCAAGGAGTCAAAGCAGAGATGCCACGAGCACAAGTTTTACTCAAGATTTCACCCAAAATGCACTGCACAAAGGCCGAGCTCTCAGCAGGAATACTGAGAGGAGGGGCTCAATGACTGTTGCTGGCATACCCCAGCCTCAAAAATCATGTCTCTGTGTCGCATAGATGGCATGCATGCGGTGTTTTGTTAGGTGGCGTGAGCTTACAGAGCTGCTCTCTACGTGTCAGTGCGGTTTATAGTTTCTTCCTCTTCTTTCTTCACTGTGAGTTATCACCGTACTAAGTCCATACTCGCTCCGCCGGCTGGTTCACTGGACTTTCTGCCTTCCACCTCTCCACCATTGTTCTGACTGTGACTGTTAACTCAAGCTTGAACCCCCCTTGTTTTGTATTTTTATGGTGTTTATTTTAACAGATGCTCTCATGGAAACTCTCAAAAGGGCGGCTTCAAAAAAAAAAAAGGAAAGTGGCACCGTTATTTTGTTCTTCTCCTCGTGAGCTTTTGGTCAAGCAACTACCTCATGCTACAACGACAGAGGTAGCGGTGCATCATGGGAAGATATGATGAGCGGGAACTATCGCCCAAACACTAACGACATGGAGTTTTTTCTTTTATTAGTAAAAGGTGTTTTGATATTGAAAAAAGCAACAACAGTTTGGTGTTTGCTTATTTGATCGCTAAGCAAAAACAGCTCAAGTCTGTTAGAGAAATTAAAAGTCTCATAGTAAATTTTGACGCCCTCATTGGTGCATACTTTTTTATAAATGGTAGCGGTCAAGCAACGCTACATCAAATCTGTCACAAAAGCAGCAGCGAACTTGGACTTGAAGCCGGGAAGACAAAAAGAAAGCCCGAACAAGTTTTTCAGTCAAACCTGAATGTCAATTTTGGGGAGTTGTTGGAGGCCGCACAAACCTTTTAATCTGTGAAATGTGTAAAATTATCTTGTGTTTCACATGATCCTGCCTCTTCAAAGAACTCTTCAGGGCTTATGTTTGTCTTATAAATCCCTCTTTGGACCACAATGGACTCTGAAATATGCAGTACAAAGACTGCAGTGTTGTCAAAAGCTTCCTCAAGACCAAGTAGCTGTGTATATAAACTACAAGCCTTTTATCGTTGGAAATACTCTTTCTTTTCATTTCAAAGCATTAGTGTTTTGCATCCCTATAAGTAAAAATTCAGTTCAATTGAATTAGGGATGCAAAATGGTGCAAGTGAAAGCTACGTGTAACTAATATAATTCATAATTTTTTCCATAAGAGGTTGGTATTTAACCATATTTCCTACTGGGACTGATGAGATGACTCTCAGCTTGCATTTGGTGGACTCTGTAAGAAGACTGCTCATGCCTTCAGATGAGATGGCCTCCTTTTTTTCAACCTTGTCACCTTATTTCTTCTTTTTTTTCCATTTAACCTCAGTAATGATGACTTTCTGTCTTTCTGTGGCTTAACACACTTAGTTTTGACGCTTGGCCTCAGCTGTGTGTATCGTAAAAGTAGTGACACTGGTTTATTTAACAGACGCTGGTCTTATAGTGTTTGCTTTTAATTCTTTAACACTATTTTTGAGCAGCAGATTGGTGAGTCCAAAAAGGCAAAGAAAAGTGTTTTATTCGTCGCACCTTTTGAAGTGATTTGCCTATTTGCTGCTCGAACCATGCTTAAACAAACAGCGAGTATTTTTTGCAGTAATAATTTGTGCAGGTCTTTGTATTTAATAATGATTTTAGACTATTTTGTCACCTCTTCAGCCTGGGCAAAACAGACGCTGGTTGTAAGAAAATCTGAAGAAAAACACAAGAGAAAGATAGATCTGCTTTTTATAGTACTTTCAAGTGTCTTGACAGATGAATCGAAAGCACCTTCAGTGATGTCTGGTTGTATTTTTGGCCCAAATATTCTTATTAACCTCTCTCTCTCTTTGTCTCTCTCTCTCTCTATCTCTCTCTCTCTCTCTCTCTCTGGGCTCTGTGTCTGTAGTCGTACCAGCTCAGCCAGCCTTCAAACTGCCTCACACTGTAGTCAAAGAGAAACAAATACTCACATAGCAACATTGAAATATGTCTTTGTATGATATACTAAAACTATGTTGGTGGGTTTATTTTTATTTTTTCAGTTTTTGAAATAAATATTTCAACTTGTTAATACGGACAAAGGTGTGGGCGTGGGCTTTTTTTGCTCCACTTTGTTGAAATGAATAGTTTGTTAAAATAATAATATAACACTAACTTTTATTTTTATAGCACTTTTAAAAACAAAAGTTTACAAAGTGCTTTGACAAAGTCATAGAGGAACCCAGACAATACAAGAACCATGCAACATAACAATAACAAATTCCAAAAAAGAGCAATAAAAATAGTAAATAAAAGTACCTATAGAGAACCATCAAACCCACTCTTCGTCAAACTGAAGGCACTAAAGTTCAAGGATTTGGTCGACCTCAAAACAATTCAGATGATGTACAAAGCAAATCAGAATCAATTACAGCAGAGCATCCAAAAGTTGTTTCAAATAAGAGAAAACAAACATAATCTCAGAGAAATATGTATTTTCAAAAAACAACCTGTATGTACAAACAAAAAAATGCTCTTTATATCAGTCAAAGGAGTTAATCTGTGGAACAGCTGCAGCAAAGAAATGAAAACCTGCAGATCACTAAACAAGTTCAAACTTATTTTTATGAACCACATTCTGAGTGGATATAAGCGAGAAACGGAAACATGAATTTATAACAATAGTCAATGTGCCTTTTTTCTGATATATTTTCTTTCTTCTGTGCTGTTATTCCTACAAATGCTCTGACTCATTAAATTACAGTAACACAATAATAAAGGGGTAGGACTAGATAAGTTTTATCAACTTCATCCTACATCCTTTCAAACAAAGTATGATTATCTATGTTGCTACAGAGCTGTCTCTTTAATCAATATTCTGCCAAAGCACATTGTATGTTATATTTATTTTGTTTTTCTTTTAACCTGTTCGAATAAAAAAAATTAACTAAAACTAACTTAAATGAGACCATGAGGACCAACATAAAAACATAAAATAGGTAAGAAAAAGAAGATGCAATAAAAAGGGGGGTTAAAGGCAGAAAACAGGATCGTAAATATAAAAGACAGTATCAATAATGGTAAAGTTATAATGATAATAACAGTAATGATAAAATAGAACAGAAATAAGCAAGAAACAAAACAAAAAAGGCCTGAAACGTTAATAAAGAAAAGATTATAAGTATAACAAAGACACTAAAGTTGAAATAAGATAGAGGTAAAAGAGATAAAAGACGGCATCACATAAAAGCAAGTCTGTAAAAGTGAGTTTTTAAATCTGACTTACAAGAAGTGACTGCCTCTGCACGCCTTACCTCCTCTGGCAGGTCGTTCAAAAGTCGAGGAGCTCTGATGGAGAAAGCTCCATCACCTTTGGTTTTTAACCTCGACTTTATACAATACAATCAGATAAGAGGTTAAAAAAGCTTGTTTTAGATTGTTAATCTGATTGAGAACATAGTCATAGCTCTGCCCCCTCATCTTAACTATTTTTCCCTCACTTATAAAAATTCAAAGTTGCATAACGGTCATTGATTGATCAGTGGTTTCAGCCCCTGTTTTATTAATCCTCTTACAGAAAAAGCTTGAGGAATTCCCAGAAAGTAAATGCACTTTGTATTTCAGCTCTTTTGAAGGAGATCCCTCACTTGGTGCCTGTTTGTGCTTGCTCAGTAACTTTTACATGAGCAATAACCTGACATCTACATCAGAGCGGGGCTGAAGTCTTAATGCACATGATTGATTTTTTGGAGGTAGATTTCCAGTAACAGCAGTGAGTCATGCAATTTTAAAGTGCTTTGTTGGCATTCGATTTAGAATAAAACCGTGTCAATAAAAGACTGAAAAACTTTGTATGAATAAAACAACTCAAAAAGTTCCCCTGCAAACACAAGCATGCAGAGATGTGTCAGCGGCACAGCAGGACCTTAATGAACTGGAGTAATCTGAAACCACTGTGCCTAGATTACAGAAATCACTAATCCCAGCTAAACTGAGCTCCAGGATCAACCACATCTTCTGATAAGAGTCTTATTTCCTTGTGTTTGAAGTCAACAGACTCCCACTCAGATTGACCAACAATGCTGCACCTTATGGCACTTCTTCGACGTTTTCTAAATCAAATAGAACTTGAACTTGTCAGTTATGAGCCAAGGGGTGGTAACTCATGTAATGTGATTAGCCGTCATTGTGGCCACCCTGAATCTTAAGATCAGATAAGAAACTCCTATATTAGTCCCACAAGGGGAAATCCCCATTTATAGTTCATCCCATCCAAGAAACATAAAGTAGACAGGCACATTCAGGGAGGGGACAGGAACAGGAGAAACCATATTTGGCTCCTTGTCTTGTCAGAAGCAGAACTTTTATTGGAATCAACCATTTTGGTTTTGTCTCTGCTGGCAGCTTCTTGGCATTTCAGTGTATGAAGTTTTATGTTGTTGGTATTTTATAAAGTGACTTCAGTCAAACCCTTTTCTTCTTGAGTCCTTAAAGATTCAACAGTTTTAATGTTCCCACTCTGTTAAATTACTTTTCAAAGTTGAAAATGATTGAGACAATCGTCCAAAATCTTACATTAATTGGACTCTTTATATCGTATGTGATTACAGGAGATAACCCTCCATGTTTGAGATAAGCTCATAGACTTTTTATGTACCATACACAGTCTATGAGTAACCCCTAATATTTACCACAACCTGGCCACTCCAGACAACAACAAAAAAATCCTCTCTTCTCTGCTTCACATCTTTTAAGTTGATGTGCAGATTTCCTGCCGTCCTTTAAGATGTTCAGCAAGCCAAATCTGCTGTCAGGTAAACACAGATCCGGTGTGTTTTGTCAGGACCACAAACATCTTCAATCTTCAATCTAAAGCCAGGGGTCAGTCTGTCCTGACAGTGGGCACCTGAAGTTGTGGTCTGTCATTCTTACAGACCCCTCTAGCATTGTTCTCTGCTACTTAACACTCCCTAACTTTCTTTCTGGTTACAGTATTTAAGCTGCAATAACATACTGAAGAACTGGGACGTTAGGGAGTCAAGCATGTGATTGTAGTGATTTTAATCGCACGTGACGTTTAAGCTTAAATCAGTGTAACTGGCCAAATACAGAGCCTTAATGGTAGCTGCAAGGTAAAAGCAATTATTGGTTATAAAGTTTCTCGTGGCTTCAGAACAAAGTCAGTCATGAGATATCTTTGCGTACAGGACGGTTATAAGACATGCTGCTTTTCCTACAAGTGTCTAACAAATGGACTCAAAACAAAATTTTCTCTTAGTAGCTTGAAAAACATGATTTTTATCTGCTAAATCAATGCATTAGTTGCATTCATAAACATTTATACAGAGATGCAACTACAGTGTGACAAACATAGATCATTAATTTCACACAGATTCATGCACACATCCTGAAACAGTTGCTTTGTGTTTCTATTTTAGTCTATGTTATGCATTAACCGACACTTATTCTGCATACAGAGCAACAGTTTCATCTTGACTGAAAATCTATTCTTGAATTTAATCCGTATAAAGCCTCCATACTTTGTGCCAAGGAACTGCATTTTCAACAAACTAACTCATGAGTGAGAAATCTCTTATCCACTCCATGTGGCATCTCACTGAGAAAACTGTGAGTATCAGATGTTTAGAGGAAAATCAATTATCATGATAATCCAGCTTTTTGACTCAAATGGGACCAAAGCAGAAAATGCTGGTCTGTCTGTCTCTACTGTGTAAAAGATTTCTATGAAAACCAGATCCTGATCTCCACAGCCCCCCTTAAGTATGCCTTTCCTCTTCCTCTGCCAGGCTCTCTGAATCACTTAATGTCCTCGCTCAGCAGCAGGCAGGTTGTCTCTGATCTAATCTAAATGTTGCACAGATTGCAGTGGTGCTGGGTTGTTTTGCTCTGTGCTGCTGTGCTGCCACATGGGTAATGTGGTGGGTGGTGCCTGTGAGAAACACTGAGCAGTGCTATTTATAGTCTCTGCAGTCCTGAGCTGGGCGCCTTACAGCAGGTCTCCTGGCAGCAGCAGCAGCAGCAGCAGTGTGTCTGTGTTTGTCTCCCCTCTGCTCTCACACACACGCAGGAACCAGCAGGGAACAGCCAGCTTCTCATATGATACTATAAATGAGCAGGTTCACCGACGGGTACAGCTTGATTCAGTGTGAGAGGAGTATAGTAAGAGTAAAGGGTTGCGCGAATTAGCAGATGACACAGATATCCAGCTGATCCAACTGAAAAAAATATACACGCTATGACAAATACAGCAAACGCTCATGATAAAGGTAAAGTGCGTCAAATTCAGCAGATTAATCAGACTGGACTTAAACAGAAAAATATTTTTGTGAGTGCGTATGTCTCGTGACTTTCTCTTGCACTTAATTACTTGCTTCATTTGTTGTTTGGTGATTGTTTTTTGGTTGTTTACTGTTGAAGACGTCAAGAAAAGGGTGTATGGTTAAACTTTATAAACCAAAAAATCTCCTGCTCTAAATTCCTGGTATTATTCTCATTAAGTGACAGCAGGATATGTCTATGTCTCTACAGGGAGCTTGGTGGGTTGAACTCATCTCCTGTCGCCCTCTTGCTGAAGTGTTCTTGAGCAACACACTCTCTGAAACTGTTCCCAATGGCATAACCAGCAGTGTGTGAATGCACATGAATGAAATAATCTAATACACAACATCCTCCAGTATCAATGCGTGCATGTTGTGTGAAAGTAACATGTGCAGTGAAAGAGGTTTTTAAGTGGTCAGAAGCTATTTAAAACAGTCTACGGCTTTGCAGACCACTGTGAAAAGACAAGATTTGTATCCTGATACTAAAAAGTGCTTACTTTCAGAATCAATATCTGTATTAAGAGACTAAAAAAAGTTCACCACATTCAGACAGAGCAGGAAAATAACCAGCCACCCCTGAGCTAATTTGGGAACCATGAATCCAAATTAGTCAACAGCTTTTCCCTCCAGTCTTTCACAAGATGTTTATGAGAAATTGCAGCCCTTATTGAATTCACTCTAAAAGAGAGTTTGGAAATGTGTAAAAGATGTAAAAGTACAATATTATTGTTTTATTGTTAAAGTTCAACCCCAAATCCAGC